TCAACACATCGCCGGGTCTCCGGTGTGTCGTCACCCCGAGCAGCAACTTCATGGAGCCGATCTGGAGGAAAGGACGAGTGAATGTTTCCGCTGTGGGACAAATTAAGAGAGGTAACTGATGACGTCATAGCAGCGCTCATTTAATCCCGTTAATGAACTGTAATAACCTCAGTGTGTCCTTGTATGTAGTGATGTAAAGACGTAAACAGTGACATATTAATAAAACACTTTATTTAACGACATAAACGTGTCACATAGAGGTCGTGATTATTTACATCAAACTCCTTTTTCCTCTCCAGTCTTCTTCATGTTCATCTGAGTTCTGCAGCTTCTTGTCATCTCCATTATGATGTAAATAATCTGACACCAAGAAAAAATACTGCGTTTTATTTCCGAAGTTTACACGAGTAATATTTGCTGAATATATGCCGAAGAAAAAACGAGTACATTTTTAAATATGAATCACATCATAGCAGAACTTGTTTTATTCAAGTGTGTCTCCCATATTTAGGGAGAGACTTGCAACATTTGGTCGTTTACTATTATATGAGTTCGTAGGAAACCTCCCTAAGGGGCCCCATCTGACAGCACTGTCGTTGCAAAAATTGGACATCAGCCGATATTAGACCTTCATGACTCCTTTCTGTGTCCAGCTCCATATACACTTAAGCCGCTCAGGGTCGGATATTTCCAGAGTGAGACCCTGATGGTCGATCCTCCATGTTTCCAGTAGAAACATTTTCCCTCATCAGTCAGTATTTACACAATATTCCACATCTTTCTGTGTGTCACCACCAGCAGACGTTGTTTGTATGTTTGGGTAACCACGCTTTGAACACACACTCTTTGTGACTGTTGTTGTTCTGGAGATCTTTAGTCCAGTGGTTCTGAACTTTTGGGTCCCGACCCACCAGTTGAGAAACATGATTTAGACGATGCATTCACAAAAAAAAAAAAACACTTTCATTCTGCGAAAATAAGACGGTCAAATATTTTTTGCATTTTTTTAAATGTTACTGAGCGTCTGATGAAATGTTTTTAGCAATCAGGAAATATTTGTGCAGCTGACCTTCAGGGCCACCGTACTATAGAGACAAATCTCTTAATGATAAGTCCTCTCTTCAGATCTGAGCACCTCCATCACGGCCCGCCAGTACGATCTAAAACCAGGAGTGTCGAAGTGTGAGGCGGGCAGACTGCTGTTCGATACTCACGCGGTGGTTCGACTCTTCGAGGAAAACGGTTTGTCGTCTGTTTACTCTCGCAGCATGAGGCGGTCAATCACAGGCTGATGATTATTTTTTTTTCTTAACAACATGTTCCCCGAGCAGGCTTCACCACGCAGCAGGCCGAGGTGATGGTTCAAGTTCTGGTGAGGATGACAAGGTCCAACATGGAGGTGATTTACAGCGACATGGTGACCAAAGTGCAGCAGGTGAGACCGGAGGAGGAGGAGGAGGAGGAGGAGGAGGAGGAGGAGGAGGAGGAGGAGGAGGACGTTTGTTAAACTCACATCTCTTTAAGATCTCTGACCAGCAGAACATTAAAACTGCAGCATGTGACCTCATTTCATTAAAATCTTAAAGTTAAAATATCAACATTTGATCATTGCATGACATCAACTATATCAAATGTAAAAGTTTATTTCAAAGTTTTTCTGATCTGCGTCTGTGAGCGCCATGCTTTGTTATTTAGTATTTTGAAGTTCTATCAGGTCTTAAACTGTCGTAAACAGTGATGGACAGAATCGCACCTCGTGGTTGCATATGAGTCTGTGAATTGACAAAACAGAAGCACATCTATTTAACAGTCATTATGAGATCATGAAGCCAAGAGTGGCTCACTCAAAGTAGTAAATACACGATCACATGACAGACACTTCTTATTGTGCAGCTCGTGTAGGTTTGTCGTTAAACGTGTGTGTTGTGTGTGTGTGCGTTTTGCAGGAGATCATGTTGCAGCGTGTCATGTCTCAAATAGCGTCAGTAAAGAAAGAAATGATCATCCTGGAAAAGAGCGAGTTCTCGACTCTACTGGCAGAGAACGAGGTGAGTGATTCAACACCCTGATATAATCCAGATTGTGTGTGTGTGTGTGTGTGTGTGTGTGTGTGTGTGTGTGTGTGTGTGTGTGTGTGTGTGTGTGTGTGTGTGTGTGTGTGTGTGTGTGTGTGTGTGTGTGTGTGTGTGTGTGTGTGTGTGTGTGTGCCCCTTTAGTCTTCTTGCCTTTTTACAGATTTTCAGAGTCATCGTCTCATAGATTAAATTGATGATTAACTTGATCCAGAGCATCGTATGACCTCTGTTTGTTCAGGATATTCAATTAATTCACCTGGGGGTCATAAAATCTGTGCAAGGCTGAAGGTCTGATACTGATCCACCGCTCAAACATGGTTATCTGGACACGAACACAAACTGAGCTACAATGATCTTTGCATATAAGATTGATGACCTCCTATGGGAGCCTTTAATGTAGGCGTGTCATACCACCCTCTGTCTGCTGTTCTGTTTAACTTTACAAAGTGTAAACCTTTTTTATATTTGACTATCTCACACAGAAACTAAAGGTGGAGTTGTTGCAGATGAAGATCCAGCTCGCGGTAAGTGTTTAAGTCTTTTTGTGCTATAAGTTTGAAACATTTGGTGAGATGTTTTTAGCAGAAGTTGGATGGTGATTGTTCCTTGTGCATCTCCTCTGCAGGACGTCATGAATAAAGTGCGCTCAGACACGATTCTGGACATGAACCTGGAGAAGAGTCGAGTCAAAGAATTAGTAAGTGTCTAAAGGTGGACGTCCCTGTGATGTTTCACCTTTTATCTGAATGTCTTGGAGGAGTGATGTGGGGATGAAATGACCCCCCCCCCCTCTGTATCGTCTTCAGAGGCGTTACAGAGGAGAGACGGGATCAGCTGAGCCAGCGGGGAAGCACAGCGCTGTGTGTGTGTTCATGTCTGACTGTGTGTGTATGTGGAGCGCCCGCTGTCCCGCGCTTCTGCAACGCTGAAATGCAACGTGACCTCACAGACTGAGAGACTAATAGTACGCTGCTACAGAATCAATATAAACAAACAAAGACGTGGTGATAGTGCGGCACCGTCTGAAAGAGAGAAACACTGATTAAAATCCTAACGTCCCGTCCATGGAGCGCTGTGAGGAACACTAAATGAAACCTTTTTTATCTTTTCCAGAAAGCAGATCATGAGAGGAAGCTTCTGGAAACAAGGACTGACATCATGGAAATGGTTTGTATTTGACTTTTTGATTTATTTACGACAAAAGTTTGAGTAGAAATAATAGAAATACAGTTGTTTAGATTTGAGTTTGCAGTGTGAAGTTACTGAGCGGTGAGTAGAGAGCGTGTGTCATCATCGTCTTCAGCAGCGTTTCATGCTGATGATTAAATCATTAAAATCTTGTTGTTTTGTTTGCAGACTGCAGAGCAGGATCGATATTTAACTCAGACCAACATGAAGATCGACACTGAAGTGGCCGGTTTGAAAACCATGTTAGAGTCTCACAAGCTGGACACGATAAAATACCTCGCAGGTAGGACGCCACACTCGGGCGCTGTTGTTTTGGAGAGTTACGTTAACAGAGATGGCGAGCTCCACAACCCAATTTCTTCTTGCTTCCAGCATGTGTGTCTGTGTGACTAAAGGGTCCTGCACTTATGCCCTTTTATAGGCATTAGTGGGCGGTTACCTATGCTAATTAGGAACAACATGCACACGCTTTCAACCCACGAGCGAGAACAAAGTCACTTAAGAACACGTTGAGGAATCTGACGGAGAGTCTTCTTAAGGACAACTTCAGAAAAAAAAAACTTGTGGAAATTCTTAAGAAGATTTTGGTGAACGTGGCCCAAAACTTTTATCCAGAACTTTAAAAAGGATGAAAACAACAGTGAATAACAGCAGCTTTGTTTTGGTTCTGTTTCAGGTTCGGTGTTCACCTGTCTCACCGTGGTTTTGGGTTTCTATCGGATTTGGATGTAAGCTTTATGCAGACTTTGACCTTCTTATAAACTCTGGAAACACTTGAAGTATCAGCTGCATTTGTCTGTGCTGAAGTACGATCATGAAAGGAAAAGTCCCTGAATTACCCCCCCCCCCCTTGGAGTGGTGGGACAATCACCTGAAGCTGCCTGTTGTTGTTGTTGTTTTTGTTGTTGTTGTTGTTGTTGTTGTTGTTTATGTTTTTGTGTTTTTAGGTCCAATTTTACTCATATGAGATTCTATTGTTCAGACATTAAAACATGAACTTTTATCCAGTTAATATCCAGTCAAGACCACTAACTGAGACCAGAGTGCTCTGAGACTGAGACAAGACCAAGACCAAAACATACCCAAGACCAGAGTGCACTGAGACAAGACCAAGGCAGGGCGAACAGGGACTGATTTTGAGTACTACAACACTCGTGTTTGAAACAGGCGTGAACCTCTTTTAAAAATGTCCTGTAATTATTTATATGGTTTTATTTAAAGCTGAAGATAAAATCAGAGGAAGGATGAGTTAGTGAGATGTTCTCTTATAAACTGAATTTTGATCTTTTCTGTGCTTTGAACAAGTCTTTACCGACTGATCAGCTGACGCTCTCTGAATAAACTTTCAAAAATGATTAACCTTGTGCACAAAGTGTCTGTTTCTCTTTAAAGGGTTCAATGTGTTTTCTTGAACTTTCTGTAATCTCATTAACACACATGTTCATTTACTTTCAAAAATATATCGATCATTTGGTTATCTGAGAAGTAGCATGACGTTTTTGGTGTCTCATAAAATTGTTTTTGCATTCAGTAGAATGATTTATTAGTTAACCTTCAGGGCCACCGTATGTACGATATATTTTAGAAAGAAATTCTCTTGATAAGTGTTTTACATTATTGTTTCAATGTCTGAGGAGGGAAGAATGTTTTAGTGCCCTATTTACCCTCCATACAAGCTGGTGGCAGTAATACGCCTAAGCGTTGTTTGCAAACTGCCAAAAAAACCTTGTAGAAGAAGAAGAACCCGGAAGTGATGGCCCTGTTGAAGCGGTGGTTGTGTAGCCTACTCTTCACTGTCGAAACACGTGTGTATCTGTCAAAGAAGCTTTTACCTGCATGACACTGACCTGTAAGTGTAAATAAAGGACTGTTTGTTGTAGATAATAGTTTGTAATGTTTCACGTAAACAAACGGTTAACTGTACATATGTGTTGTTACTAAGAATTCAGTTCGATTGACCTTTAAGATCATATGTATGATTTATTAGAAGATAACTATTAAGATAAATAAATTGTGTTTTGTGTCTTTCAGGCTCGCAGTGATGGCTGATGCGTTCAGTAGCAGCTCGGAAACCGTAATTCAGCGCGTTGTAGACGTTAAAAGCAAAACAAACACACCTGTGGACAGCCTTGAAGAGTCGTATCAGATAAAGGAGACTTGTGACTTCATCAGAGATCGTCAGTGTAAAAAGGTTAGTACGTGTTTTAAACAGCATTTAATGACAGACAGGATATTAAGATTTGTACCAAGAAGGTCCGTGTCTGATCCTCTGTAGCTGGTTTCCTAGGGTGCTTTTACTTCTTTACTGATCATAGATGCATACAAGACAACATGGCCTTGAGATCTGTGTGTACTCCTGGAGTCCTGTGGTCCTGTTCTCTGGAAGACCCTGTCTGAGAAATCTGTGGAACTCCAACAATGTGTGGTCGAGTGTGACTAAAAACAGACTCGCCTCACCATTTCCTGCTGTAGTTTTTTTAATGCCTGGATTGTTGACTGTTCCTGTGCATGTTGGAGAGACTGCTGGAGAGATGAGGCAGATCACCATCACATGTTCTGGACTTGCCCAAAAGATACAACTTTTTGGGAAAATATTTGGACAATCATTAACTTTCTTCTCACTTTATTTGATCTAAATCACAGAGATCAACGACATGGAGAGATTGACTTCCTCATTAAGATTGAGAAAGGACTTACAATGGAAACAATATTTGACAGAATAAATGAGGTGCTTGGTAGTTTGCCCCACTCGCTCTCACAGCTTTTGGTTATTTATTGACTTCAACATTAAGAATGTTACTGAGGTTTGTGTCCATATAGAAATGTGTTTTTTCACCTTTCTGTGATGCACTTTGGGCTGCAGGCTTGTAGAGGTGCAGCCTGAATGAGGGGCTCTTTTTGTGCAGGAACACCAACAGGTACGCCTTTGAGTTGTTTCTAAGTCTTCCCTGATGACTCCTCAGGTTGCTCTGCAGTTTCCCGATGAGCTGCTAGGGGATTCAGTCGCCGTGGCAGTAGAGATCGAGAGGAACAGTGAAGCCACCGCATACATTTTAGGAGATACATCCTATGGCAGGTAACATCACGGGTGTTATTGTGATCATGCATGAACCACACAGTGTGTCATCTGTCATTTGCTAAAGGTCCACTGGGGCACAACAGTAGGTGATGTAGTGAATGATAATAATCTAGTGAGCAGGGATACTTGATCATCAGTATGCAGCAGTATAGTATTAAACATTTGCAGAGTTTCTGGTTGAGCTTGACCCTTTGGTACATTCATACATTGTTGTTGACATCTCTCTCTCCAGTTGTTGTGTGGACGAGGTCGCTGCGGAGCACGTCGGAGCCGACTGCATCGTGCACTATGGCGGCTCGTGTCTCAGCCCGTCCACCAGGCTGCCGCTGATGTACGTGTTTGAGAGGAGAGCGGTGGATCTGGATAAGTGCTCGTCCTCCTTTAGAGAACTTTACCCCGACACACAGAGTCCCGTCATCATCCTCTACGACGTCAACTATGTTCATGCTATGAGTAAGCTGTGTCATCAGATGAGTGAAAGATGGAGATCATGGAGCTCACACACGGAGCTTCTGCCCCCTAAAGAGATTTTCAAATGAGATATTTAGTTTGTTGTTTAATCGTATTTTACATTTATTTCCTCAGTCTTTTTTTTACGTTGTCACAAATCCAGAATTTTAAACTTCGAAATGATACTAAAAATCAAACAATATTGATACCTTTTTCGTTACCACGGCAACAAACGCAGAAGTCTTAGACATACAAAATGATGTAAGTTCTTGTTTTCAGGAACCAGAAATTTCCATTAACAATTAAAATCTCGATTAATCACGGTTAAAATACTTAACAGTTTGACATCCCTGATTGAATTCTTGTCTTTATTTATATTTCCAGACGATCTCTTCACCCTCCTCTCACAGGATTATCCGAACCTGGTGGTCTCGGAGCTCGTCGTGGAGGGGGAGCAGTGTTACATTCACGGCTGGATTAAAAGACAGGATGACATCATCAGCATGTCGGAGAGGGACGGCAGTCAGGTCGTCTGTCAGTTTGGGCGGCGGTTCTCCTTGAAGAGCGCTTCAAACATTAAGGATTATGAAATGTTCTACGTGGGGCGGGAGGGGACCACTCTCACTAACTTCATGATGACTTGGAACCGCTGCTTGTTCTCTTCCTTTGACCCGCTAACGATGACGGGGAGGGCGGAGTCAGTGAGTATAAACCGAGCTCTGATGAAGAGATACTACGCCATAGAACGAGCTAAAGATGCTAACGTGGTCGGCATCCTGGTCGGCACGCTCGGCGTAGCAGACTACCTGAGCGTCATTGAGCAGCTGAAGGAGACGATCCGCCGAGCCGGAAAGAAGAGCTACATGTTCGCCATGGGGAAACTCAACGTGCCCAAGCTGGCTAACTTTCTGGAAATTGACATATTCGTGTTGGTGGCTTGTCCTGAGAACGCTCTGCTGGACTCCAGTGAGTTTTATAAACCCGTGGTGACGCCGTTTGAGATGGAGGTGGCCTGCAACAAGAAGCGGGAGTGGTCAGAGGAGTACGTCACAGACTTCAGACACCTCCTGCCAGGTGAGCCAGTTATTCACATTTAAGTTGAAGTGTTGAATCTTTAACGGGCTGTTGAGCTGCACATCAGAATCAGAATCAGAATCAGAATCAGAATCGGGGTTTATTGCAAAGTACATTTACACATACATTGAATTTGACTTGGTGTATTGGTGCTAAACAATTAACGAGAAAATAAAGCAGAACTAGCAACAATTTAAATAATACAGAATAAGAAGATATTACAATATATAAAATAGAATACTACTCAGGTTTATCACGATACCAGAACTTTAAGCCTCAGTACAATATGAGGAACAATCATTACTGATCCCTGAGTCAGTACCAGGTCCTGCCATCCAATGTTCAGTAATTATTGTGGCTATTTGTCCAAAAACAACTGAAGTTAAAATTATAAACAAACCTCAACAAACAGCTACTGATGCACCGTTCCAGTGAGGCCTTACGCACGCAATAAGTTCAATAATGTCGAGTCTGGATCTTTTGTTTCTTCATTTAATTAAGACATACAAACATTTCCAACTGCATCCCATTGACATGTGGTAAAAAAAAACTTGTGTCCTTTCTTGGTGCATCACCCAACAGTGACACACCTGCTACATTTTAAGGGTTCCTGATCAACCCATGTGCTTGGCAAGGTGCCCACTGCCCCCCCTGGTGTTCACAAACAACAAAAACAACAAATAACCAGAAAATGGCTGCTACAGTAATATTTAGTTTTAACTTTGAAAAACAAACAGATGAGTCTGTGCAGGATTTTAGGTTTATTTTTGGATGTTTTATTCCGTTATTTTAGAGACGAGAGAGAGAGAGAGAGAGAGAGAGAGAGAGACTGACTGAGTTTAAATGAACGAGGACTACAGCCTCTGTTAATGGACCACTAGTTGCAACTGATGCCCCGGTGTGCAGAGCATCAGTTTCATGGCATTTATTTCTGTAAAGTTACGGACTCTTTCTTTTTCCAACCATTGTAATCAAAGTAATGGAATGTGCCTTTGATGTTTTTTTTCTTTTCTGTTAAATCTGCTCCAGGTGGGCGAAGTCATGTTCCTTTAGCGGAGCAGCAGGAGGACGACGAGGAGCCGCCGGACGTCTCTTTGATCACATTAAGTCTGCGCAGCCACAACCTGCTGCTCAGCGAGCCTGCGGAGCAATCGTGCAGCTCCTCCGTCGTCCTCAGGAACCAAACTCTGACCGTGGCCAACTCAGCCGGTACGACCCGCTCCAAGAGAGAGCTGCTGATTGGACAGTTCGATTTGTTCTCCGTGCACATGAATACGTTTTTATTGAAGAACATCACACACATACAGTCACTGTTCTATAATATTTATAAATATCTTGTATGCCTCCTCCTCTCAGCGTCCTTCCTGGCAGAGCGGAGCTGGCGCGGTTTGGAGCAGAAGTTGGGCGAGACGCCGGTGGTGAAGGCTGTGAAGGGGCGGAGAGGCATCGCTATCGCCTACGAAGAGGAGGGAACGTCTTTGTCGTGATTAAAAACACTCAAACCAGACGGATTATTTATCAGAGCCTGCCCGCTTTATCACACATGAAATGATTAAATGTCTTCATTATAATCGTGTTTCAGTCGAGCGTTTCTGAAAGGTGCTAAAGGTCACCTTTGATTTCATCCGAGTATTAAAACATGTCTGAAGACAAAGTGACCTTCATAAAAAGGTGTTTAGTCTGACACTGAAAGGTTTCATGTGGATGGGGCTGAGGATCGAGTGATCTGCAGATCATTTACTTAATCTGTTAATGAAATATCAGAAGTACGCCACCTGTAGACCGCTTCTTCTTTGGACAAAAAAACGTCTTCTCTAACCGCCAAAGAAATGCAACGAACCGGAACATTTCACAAGCTGTAGCCTTCAAATGTTTTAAATATGTATTGGAAATGGATGGGAAATATTTACTGATTATTAAAAAGGTCTGCAGGATTTGCTGAAGTTAATAATTTAAAGGTCGCATATTACGCAGAATCCACTTCACCATGTTCCTCTAACTCTAACATGTGTCTCTAGTCTGTCTACAAACCCCTCAATGATGAGAAAAGTCCATCCTCTCCGTCTTTTGCCTGCTCCACTTTTCAGAAAATGTGTGCTCAAACAGGCCGTTTGGAGATTTCCCCTTCATGACATCACAAAGGGCAGTAGCCCCTCCCCCAGGTGGCTGACATTCCCACAGTTAGGTGTTTTTTCTGCCCTCTGAGTCTGCCTTCTCACCGTAAACAATAGGACATGGAGCGAGAAAGCCCGAGACACCCGAGCCCTTCCAGAGAGGGGGCGTGGTCAGCCACAGCTCATTTACATATTTAAAAGTACAGACACAGAAAAAGCCTGTTCTGAGCAGGGCTGAAATAGAGGGGTTTATAGACATGATCAAATACAGGATCAGAGAGGATTTAGAACAAGAAACAACACACATGTTTTGAGGAGCTCTGAGACTTATTTACACTGAAGAGGAGGAGAATATGAGACCTTTAGAGGTTTTTGGTTGGGGGTTCCTGTCCTCTTCAACTTTGGATCTTTTCTGCTTTGATGAATTGATTAAAACTACTAAACACTGGGAGGAACTTCTTCCACAAAGGCTGCAGGAAAGATTCCAGTGTTCCCGTTACACTGACCCTCCAACCAATCCTGGTTCACTGGAGAGAAGGAACAAAACATGAATTAGAATCATATTTATTATGTTTTACTAATCCTTCTGGTTCATTCTGTCAGGATTTGAGCTGCTAAAACAAAATATTATTGTACCGAGAGAGAGAAGTGTGATTGTGTCTCCTTGATGAAAGCTGAGATCTTCTGGATTCAAAGACTCGTACGAGTGAAGAGCCACAAAGTGAATCTCTTTCTGAGGCGCTCCATCAGTCTCCTGAAAATATGAAAAAAAACAAATAAAGATTCTGTGCTCGATTGCATAACCACAGACTTCAACACATCTCTGTTTCACTTCATTTAAGGGGTAACTTCCTTTAGCTCATGTTGTTGTCGTCATGCAGCAAAGTTTACATTTCCCTTGCAAATGAACTCTGAGACTCTAAACGTCGGGTCATGTCGTGTTTCCATCTGAGACGGGATAGATCCAAACACAAGACGGAAGGTGGGACATAACCTTGGGATGCATCTGATTGGATCGTTAACTTCTAATTGTACAACGTTAAACGCACCTGAGTGCAGGATGAGTTGTCAGACATGAGAAAGGTTTAACATGAAGAGGAAATAAATGTATTGATTTTATGATGTCAACATATGCCAACCCCCCGGAAGTGCATCAATTTTACATGGTGGCCGAAGCTGGTACTGCAGCGTCACGTGATGCCATCAGGCCAAAAAACACTTTTTCCGTTCAGCTTACATCGGGAAAGAGACGTCGAGGTACATCAACTTCCTGATAAGAACACTTAAAGAACTCTTAAGAACTAAAATCATTCGATCCTAAAAGTTGTAAAACGAAATTAAAGCTGAATTCAGAGATATTTATGTCGACATGATGAACACAGACCATAACCTCGGGACTGAGACTCAGAGTGAGCACGCTCTATGGGCCCAGTAACGCCAAAGATCCGGGTACTTTTAAGCGCTGAAGTCAGACTTTCTTCTGGTAAATAGACTTTAGCTTGTATATTTCTTTTCTAGTCTTCTGACTACTCAAAGCGTTTTTTACACAGCAGGTCACACCTACACATTCACACTGATGGTAGAGGCTGCTGTGTAAAGAGACCATCAGTATTAACTCATCCATTCACACACATTCACACACTGATGGTAGAGACTGCTGAGTAAAGAGTCCGTCAGTATTAACTCATCCATTCACACACATTCACACACTGATGGTAGAGGCTGCTGTGTAAAGAGACCATCAGTATTAACTCATCCATTCACACACATTCACACACTGATGGTAGAGACTGCTGAGTAAAGAGTCCGTCAGTATTAACTCATCCATTCACACACATTCACACACTGATGGTAGAGGCTGCTGAGTAAAGAGTCCATCAGTATTAACTCATCCATTCAGACACATTCACACACTGATGGTAGAGGCTGCTGATTAAAGAGTCCATCAGTATTAACTCATCCATTCATACACATTCACAGACTGATGGTAGAGGCTGCTGAGTAAAGAGTCCATCAGTATTAACTCATCCATTAAGACACATTCACACACTGATGGTAGAGGCTGCTGAGTAAAGAGTCCATCAGTATTAACTCATCCATTCACACACTGATGGTAGAGGCTGCTGATTAAAGAGTCCATCAGTATTAACTCATCCATTCACACACTGATGGTAGAGGCTGCTGTGTAAAGAGTCCATCAGTATTAACTCATCCATTCACACACATTCACACACTGATGGTAGAGGCTGCTGAGTAAAGAGTCCATCAGTGTTAACTCATCCATTCACACACATTCACACACTGATGGTAGAGGCTGCTGAGTAAAGAGTCCATCAGTGTTAACTCATCCATTCACACACATTCACACACTGATGGTAGAGGCTGCTGAGTAAAGAGTCCGTCAGTATTAACTCATCCATTCACACACATTCACACACTGATGGTAGAGGCTGCTGTGTAAAGAGTCCATCAGTATTAACTCATCCCTTCACACACATTCACACACTGATGGTAGAGCCTGCTGAGTAAAGAGTCCATCAGTATTAACTCATCCATTCACACACATATACACACTGATGGTAGAGGCTGCTGATTAAAGAGTCCATCAGTATTAACTCATCCATTCACACACTGATGGTAGAGGCTGCTGATTAAAGAGTCCATCAGTATTAACTCATCCATTCACACACTGATGGTAGAGCCTGCTGAGTAAAGAGTCCATCAGTATTAACTCATCCATTCATACACATTCACACACTGATGGTAGAGGCTGCTGATTAAAGAGTCCATCAGTATTAACTCATCCATTCACACACTGATGGTAGAGGCTGCTGATTAAAGAGTCCATCAGTATTAACTCATCCATTCACACACTGATGGTAGAGGCTGCTGATTAAAGAGTCCATCAGTATTAACTCATCCATTCATACACATTCACACACTGATGGTAGAGGCTGCTGATTAAAGAGTCCATCAGTATTAACTCATCCATTCACACACTGATGGTAGAGGCTGCTGATTAAAGAGTCCATCAGTATTAACTCATCCATTCACACACTGATGGTAGAGGCTGCTGTGTAAAGAGTCTATCAGTATTAACTCATCCATTCATACACATTCACACACTGATGGTAGAGGCTGCTGATTAAAGAGTCCATCAGTATTAACTCATCCATTCACAAACAGATGGTAGAGGCTGCTGTGTAAAGAGACCATCAGTATTAACTCTCCATTCATACACATTCACACACTGATGGTAGAGGCTGCTGAGTAAAGAGTCCATCAGTATTAACTCATCCATTCATACACATTCACACACTGATGGTAGAGGCTGCTGAGTAAAGAGTCCATCAGTATTAACTCATCCCTTCACACACATTCACACACTGATGGTAGAGGCTGCTGAGTAAAGAGTCCATCAGTATTAACTCATCCCTTCACACACATTCACACACTGATGGTAGAAGCTGCTGAGTAAAGAGTCCATCAGTATTAACTCATCCATTCACACACATTCACACACTGATGGTAGAGGCTGCTGATTAAAGAGTCCATCAGTATTAACTCATCCATTCATACACTTTCACACACTGATGGTAGAGGCTGCTGATTAAAGAGTCCATCAGTATTAACTCATCCATTCATACACATTCACACACTGATGGTAGAGGCTGCTGAGTAAAGAGTCCATCAGTATTAACTCATCCATTCATACACATTCACACACTGATGGTAGATTGAGGCTTCATGAAAACTTAAAATAATCTCAGACTTTCTTCCACCTGACAAAGATGAAAGTCTGAGGAAACACTTGAAAATAATTTCTTAATGACGATCCTCCACGTAAGAAGCTGTTTCAAATTTAAAACAAAGAGGTGAAAATAACTACGATATGTAGAGTGTTTGAATGCAGCATGCAGGGTCAGAAACCACATCGTACCTCTTTGGCGTGACACCACACGGTGATGCGTCCTCCTCCTGCACGGCTCCACACACTCGCCATGTCTGTGTCTGCGTCGATCACACTCAAGTCTTTGGCCTCGGCAGTTAAACTACGCAAAGATGATCGACTTTTAATAGAAACACGACGTACAAATTTAACTTTGATCTACTTTAAATGTGCACCTCACCTCAGCATGATTCTGTCAGACGGGAGGTTAACTTTCCTGCTGATCTTCTCGATCAGGACTGCGTAAGTAGACCCAGCAGGAACCGAGACGGCGAAGGTGAACGTGAAGTGGACTTTGACGATCAATGAGTCTTCTGCAGGCCGGGCGTCCTGGGAATGATGAGAGGACACAAATTAGAATTTAGACATCGCAGAAAACAAAAGAAACCCTCCACAGGCCAACAAAGTCAAGTCATTGTTTAGAGATCCACAGGAAGTCATGTTTGGTAATTTATCATAATTTATGATTCACACAGTTTGTGTGTTAGAGGAGTGCAGTGTTGACAAATGAAGGATTAGAGTCACCTTACCTTTGTTTGTGTCTCTTCACTGTTGTTGTTATCACTCAGAGTAACATCTGAAACAGATTTTGACAAAAGCTTTTAATATTTGGGACAAATTGTATTTATTTATTTTTTTAAAGATTTATTTTTGGGCTTTTTATGCCTTTAATGCAGAGATAGGACAGTGGATAGAGTTGGAAATCAGGGAGAGAGAGTGGGGAATGACATGCAGAAAGGGGCCACGGGTGGAGGTGAACCCGGGCCTACCGCTTGAGACGAGAGCCTCAACACATGGGACGCGCACCCTAACCATTGCACCACCAGTGTGCCCCGACAAATTGTATTTTTAAACCTTATTTACATATTTAAAGGTACAGACACAGAAACAGCCTGTTCTGAGCAGGGCTGAAATAGAGGGGTTTATAGACATAATCAAATACAGGATCAGAGTGGATTTAGAACAAGAAACTAAACACACATGTTTTGAGGAGCTCTGAGACTTATGAAGAAGAGGAGGAGAATATATGACCTTTGAAGCTCTTATAATCCTGATTTTGTGCTCCTTTAAAGTCTGTATCTGGATTACATGATCCTTTATAGAAAAAAAAGTGGATTACCAAATGCAGATCAGTTATTTGTTTGGATTAAACCTTTTGAACTCCTGGGCCCAGTGGATGGAGTCAGTGTGTGAAGTTTGCTTAAGCCCCGATAGGTCAGGTTAATCTACCTGATTTCCTCTCAGGTCTGGTAGGGGGTTCTCGAGTTGGAGGAGCAGAAAGGCCCTGTTTGTGTTCAGGAGTGTCCAAATAACAACGCCAGAAAACAGAAACAAAAAGAGAAAAAAATACAACATGTCATCAGTGAGAAACCTGCAGAGCGCGCTCAGATAATAATAAATAAGTCCTGTCACCTCGTTCTGCTTAGAAGCTAATGAGATCTCCAAACGCTCCAGGTAGTTGTACGGCACGAGTCCCCTCTAGGACAGAGATGATGTCATCTTAAACTCGGCATGATTCACCTTGTTATGTGCAAACATATAAAAACCTCTTACTCTTTCATTGAAGACCACAGACGCCCAGTTGTCGGCACCTTTCTGCAGCACGAACACGATGTTCCCCGGCACGACGGCGAGCTCGTCGCTGGTCTCAGGAACAAACTCAAACAGGACGGTGTGAGGTTCTCCCTCTAAAGCCCTGAGGAGAGCACACACACATCCACATGCTGCTCAGGACACACACACACTTTTCTGCTATGAAAGAAGGACACTTGATGTTTTTCCTCTTTCTCAGCTCTTTACAATTAAAGTTTTTAAAATCTCCCCTCCTTGTTTTACAGAAATGCATCAATGATGACATTTTGAAAAGTACGAAAGCTGAGTGGGAACAACCGTAAACAAACCATAGTTTTAATGTGTGATTGTTATTCTTCTAAAGTGCATTTAAAGACCATCGAGTTATTTCATGTAAGAAGCAGATGTTTTACCTCAGGATTTCAGGTTCCTTCGGACGTACTGGATTATCTTCCACCTTCCAAAAAACAAACAAAACCAAAACATCATGCATCAAAGGTTTTGTGAAAGAGAAAGTCTGACATTACATTCATTATAATATTAATATTAATACATTATACTTGTAGTAAGTTTGAGAGTACTCAAAGACGTTTAACACAGAACAACAACAAAACAAAACCGAGAAGAAATAATGTCAGAGAAGGACGATGAGGACAGAGTCTGTCTGAGGTTGTAGGTGAAGCTGAAGAGGTTTTTACAGCGAGATGGAGTGGTGGAGAGTGGGGGGGGGGGGGGGGGTCTCTGATGATTTTTGGGAGTGAGTTCCAGAGGGTGGTAGCAGCAATGAGGGCAGGAGGTTTGCATCAGCAGACCTGAGAGTGCAGGGGGAGGAGCTCAGACAGGTAGGGGGAGGAGTCAGATACTGGAGGGCTTTGTAGGTGATAACAGAGAGTCTGAAGAGGATACGCTGGGAGATGGGGAGCCAGTGGAGGTTATGAAGGACAGGGGCGATGTGGTCACAGGTGTTGGAGTGTGTGAGAAGGTGAGCAGCAGGATTATGGATGTACTGTAGTTTCTTAAATGTGTTTCTGATGATGAACCGTAGATGAGACTGTTGCAGTAGTCCAGTCTGGACTTATTTTAATTTTAGTTATGCTTCAGGATAAGCCTACTTCAGGATAAGCCAAGATGATCTAATTCCCTTCATGTCTGAAATACTTCATAATATACAGACTATCAACGGATCAGTTACCTGAGGCTGTAGCGGTGCAAACCCAGAGAAGATGTCCTGAGGAACCACAGAGGCAACAACCTGAAGACGGAGAGCAGAGGAAAGAGTCACACTCGGTTTGATCGGCTCCACGTCAGAGAAGGTGTGTGATCACTTGAACTTTGACCTTTGCTTTGCCCAGGTAGTCCTTCTTCTCCAGCTCGGCCACGTAATTTTTGTTCGGCTTGAAGAGAACTTTAGACGGGAACTCCACCAGTTTGAAGAGTTTCTGTTTCTGTGGGGACATCGAATAAAAACGATGAGGGGATAACTTACACAGTGGACTTTAATTGGCTAATAATTTCAGCTGGGAACACTCTCTCCTCATTGAAAACAATTTAATTTTTTTTTTTTTTGTTTAACGATAGGCAGACAAAGTTGTGGAGGGTTGCATCTCTTCTTGAAAAGTCTGAGTTTGTTCGAGTTTGATCCACTCCGTAAAAAGCTGAATGGCTGTAAATCAGTGAACATCAGTGAGATTCTATCAATTGCCTGAGGACTGTGTGTTCGATTGAAACAGCGATGTGTTCACTGACCAGCGTGGATTGCAGCGCTCTGTCGATGGCGTTGAGCTTGTTCTCTGTCTTGAAGTCGAGAGCTTTCACGAGGTTCTCCTGAGCTTTCTCCCAGTTTCCCAGCTGAGCCTCAGAGAGCGCCATGTTGTGAAGAACCTGAAGCAGGATGCAGAAACATTACACTTTTATTCTTTAATCACTGAAGCATTTTAATCCCTCATGAAAACCTCAGAATTAAGAAAAAAACGTCTGAGCTCGTTTATCAGGATTTCTCATTTAAAGGTCACATATTATACAAAACACACTTCCCCATGTTTTCCTAACACTAATATGTGTCCTTAATCTGTCTACAAACCCCCCAATGATGAGAGATGTCCATCCTCTCCGTCTTCTGTCTGCTCCACTTTTCAGAAAATGTGTGCTCAAACAGGCCGTTTAGAGATTTTCCCTTCATGACATCACAAAGGGCAGTAGCCCCTCCCCCAGGTGGGTGACACTCCCACAGCTAGGTGTTTGTTCTGCCCTGAGTCTGCCTTCTCACTGTAAACAATAGGACATGGAGCCAGAAAGACAGAGTACACCCAAGTCCGTCCAGAGAGGGGGCGTGGTCAGACACAGCTCATTTACATATTTAAAGGTACAGACACAGAAACAGCCTGTTCTGAGCAGGGCTGAAATAGAGGGGTTTATAGACATGATCAAATACAGGATCAGAGTGGATTTAGAACAAGAAACTTCACACACATGTTTTGAGGAGCTCTGAGACTTATTTACACTGAAGAGGAGGAGAATATGCAACCTTTAAATGCAAATGTGTCAAATTGTGCAGAATGCCTTAAGTCATCAAATGGGACCAAGTGTGTCTGCAGACTGTAGAGTTTTCAGGATGAAATAAGATGCACGGTTCTCTTGCATCTGTATTCTTACCTCACATGCGTATAACTTATACTGGAGACCGAGAGCTTTATAATCAATTAGCTGGTTTCCTCTCAGGGCTTTGAAGGCGCGCTTGAAATCCCCTAAACTCTCCTCAAACCTTTGAATATAAAAACAGAGAAATAAATTTGCAGAAAAGAGGGTGCTTGAGACTCAAACATCATGACCAGAACATCATAATAAATGGAATATACAGTCATTTTAAATCCCATTGTAATAGGACTGGTAAATGTGGACACAGTATGAGAGGGGTGGGGTCTTGCCTCTCTTTTCTGTAAAAGGTGATTCCTCTTTGGAAGAAGGCCACAGCCAGATGTTCGTCTTTGCGAATGCTGCAATCGAAGGCCTGTGAAATCAGAGATAATTCTGTAACTTCCTTCTGAAGAAAAGAGAAACGGTAAACTCTACTTCTTCTTTTTACGTGACTTGCACTTTCAGACTTTAAATCTAGAGAGCTTTGTCATATGTGCTTCATCATCTGCATCTGAACATGACTTTACTTTGAGGTGATTTAACCGAATAAATACTGCAGGTCTCTGAGAAATTATGAAGCTGCCGTTTACCTTTTCTGCAGCCTCCAGCTCTTGTTTAAGAAGATGCAGACAGCCGATGTCAAAACAGATTTTGGAGTTTGGATCTTGGATAGAGAGGAAGATCCTGAGTGCTTCTGAGAGATCCCCCCTGTCCACGCAGGTCACAGCCTCGTCCCACTGACGCAGAGTGTCCAGGAACGACATGGTGACAGAAGAGGAGTCCACTGAGATAATGATCGGATTAAGGAAGTTCTTCTCATTTGAACCAGCGAGACCAGGAAGTGAGTCACAGTCTCATTGTTAGTATTAATGAGCACTGCCTCAGGCTGCTGGTTGTTGTTTTTTTTTTTTTACTTTACACAAAGTGATTCTTCAGCATGCAGGTAGAATTGTATTTGATCCTCCTAAACATAAAAGTGTATACACCACGATTCAATTTTTTTAATTTCACATACGTTATTAATCCCTGAGGTGAAATTCTAGTTTACACTCTGCCATTGAGCGAAAAACTTCTCACACAAAGAGGCCCAAAATACAAACATGCACAAGCAGGACCTGTGGACATGCATTCGTAGAGAGATGTCAGAGATATTGGGGGTTTGGTGTCTTGCTCAAGGGCGCCTCGGCAGTGCTCAGGAGGTGCCCTGACACCTCTCAAGCTACCAGACCAGCTTCTTAGTGTGGTCTGCACTGGGACTTCAATCAGCGACCCTCCTGTTCCCAACCCAAGTCCCTGCAGACTGAGCTACTGCCCCCCCGAGTATTCACTCCCAGGAGTACAATCAGTCCTCTTTCTATGTTTATTTCTTTTTAAAGGGATGAGGCTGTGCTGATGAAGGATATACTACATTCCACTAGAGACACACAGAAAAATTGTGAAGTGATTTACAATCATGATATGTGCAGTCCTCGTCTTTTGTTAGGCTTTAAGGACATGACACTCATGATACAACAACAATTTAACATAAAAACTGACAGTTTCAGACATAGACGGGCAGAAGGCGTTAAAGCCAACAGTAAAGTCTAAACATCATTAGAGATTCACACAAAGCAGAAATCCACCTGTTACATACACACCTGATATTTATTCAATATTCATTTAGGGTCACAATATAAGACTTTTTTTTAAATTTGATTTTAAAAAAATCAAACAAAACCAATAATATATCGGTCTCATTTTATACCATAGACTGTAAATATGTTCAGGTGTTGCTTCCGACCTTTCATAATTCAAACAAGAAATTACCAGATATGGAGTGTCTATTTCGGTTTAAACAGGTTCCTTTTTATAAATATTATTTGATGGATTTATTCCTCTCCTGTTGTCTCATCATAAAGATGGTTCCTTGAAGCTTTGATATCGAATATAGTGGTATCGAAAAGTAACGAAATATGGAAAACGTCAGACAACCTTGATTTGAGCTGTCAGTAAAGCAAAGTGCGCTTCACCCGCTGAATACTGAAGAGATGAAACACTCAGAAAACAGCTTTCATTAAACACTTAGAGTCTTCATGTCAATGAGAAGAAAACAGAAAAAGTAGAGAAAGTTTTCATGCTCACGCTCATCAATTCTCCTCCGGTTTTTTTTCGTCCAACAGTTTAAAAAAACTTTATTTAACACAATTTAGACACAAATAATACCGTTGAAGAAAAGACTAAACGACAGATGAACAAGCCTATTAGACACTAAACCACTTATTATTTAAATGTTATATAACTATGCAGTTTTGTTCGGATTTGAGTTCTTATGTTTTCACTTCTTCTGTTAATATTTCACACAGTTTTTAACCTTAAAGATGTAAACTGATATAATGACAACAACACAAATTATTAGTTAATTGTACTTATATTATCTGGAAAATGTCTCCTTCATAAGCAAAAGTTTTGATAATTTCCTAAGCTGAATTAAAAAAAGTTACAGGTGGAATATTTAATGATGCTGCATTTAGAATATTTCTCAAATTACCAAGAGGGAGGAGTGCTAGTGCAGTGATCCATTTCTATTTTAAATTATCTTTTAAATTCCATTTACATTTTATGGATTTAATAAATTCACGATGCATTACTTTCCATTCTTATCGTAGAAAGAAATCTTTCAAATAACCGTGAAGCCAGCCCGCGGTTTAAAACAATGCCCTACATCTAACTAAACATGCGAGCAATCATAAAATAAGTGACAAAGTTTTATTTATTTATTTTTTGTTACTTTTTCCGGTGTACCCAAAAAGTCAATAACGGTCTGATGACGTATTTCCGTTATTGCTGTGGAGCAGACTAAACAAACATGGCTCTGTGTCAGACATCAAGCCTTCATGATACGTAGATAAATGATCAATGAGTAAATATGCCACGGTTAATAAGAAAACAAAGCCTCATAAACAGCGTACATGAACAGTGTTAGGCTAGTTAGTTCAGCGTCTCCTTTTTGTGACCGTGTTTACACTTTGCTAACTCTCTGGTTGGCTAATGTAAGCTAGCAAAGATGGACCTTGGCACAATGTTGTACAAAAATTTAAAAGATGTCACCTGGAGCTCGACGGCCCTGCCGTTAGATCACCTGGTCGGTGCGTACAGGCTGCCGCAGATTGTCAAGCTGGATGACGGTGAGTAACTTTCTCATGTTAGCTGCTAACATGCTAGCTGTTAGCTCCGACACTTCACACTCCGTTTGAATCACACTTTTTATTTTTTTAATTTTTAGCCTAATTTAATAATTATATTCAAAACTGTCAAATAAACACCACACGAAGTTATATTCATGTCTAAATATGTCTAAGCAGTTATGTTTCATGTTAGAGACAGCATGTAATAGCACCAGAAGTCTCTAGTGCAGCAAAGTGTCTACTTGAACATGTGTGCACATCACATGCACCTTCATGACATTTCAAAAAGAAAAGAGGAGCAGAGTGAGTCACTTTTCAAACTTAACATTTCTCTTTGTTCTCATTCAGGAAGCAAATAAAGACATGTTTAAGTAAAGCATCAGATAAAACATTATACGGTTCTCTCAGTCTTGTTATGCAGTCTCACCATGTCACACGTCATATTGCTACTTAGATGTTAAAGTTTATAATTATTATTACTTTTGATGCACACTGACATACATTACTCTGCTGCTACTAATCATACCATGTCACTTCTCTCATAACCAGTAACTTCAATTAGCCCCTTAATGCACAACATGTAAGAGTGTTTTTGATTGGTAATTCATTGGTGTATGGTTTTTTAAATACCTAATAGTGAACAGTGGTAAATACGTGTTTTTAAAGTATTTTCTATTCTTATTTGGTTCTGTATCCTCCCGTCCTCGGTCTCACTCTGCTAACTCTGCTGCAGAGCTGCGATGGTGCATTGCTCCTTTAAATAGGAGAGCCTGCTTTTAGAGAGGTATAGATTAGGGCATTAGTCATTGTCTATGGAGGATAGTGACTCGAGTGTGCTGAGTAATCCATTGCTTCTGCATGAGTGGAGCAGCTGCAGAAGCTCACAAAAAAGTACAAAATAGAGAACAGATTTTTACTCAGGGTAATTGATTTAGTGTTTCAGATAATCCATCAAAAAAGTGTTAAAATACATTCCAATGGTATCACAAACATCATCTAATCAGACTGAGTGATATAATAAATGACACTCCTTATAAGCTGTATCACAGTATCTCCTGGATTGTGAGGATTCATTGCTGTGTTCACTCCTGCAGGTCAGCTGGTCGAAGGCCTCAGGGACAACGACTACCTCTTGATTCATTCCTGCCGTCAGTGGACGACTATTACCGCTCACAGTCTGGAGGAGGGACATTACGTCATCGGGCCCAAAATAGAGATTCCAGTTCACTACGAAGGTGAGCGACCTCTGAACGGATGCTTTTGAATTAGCTTGATTGAATTCTGACAAACCAGAGGTGAGAAGCCACTGCCTGGCCCCCTTATCCTAAAAATTGTTCCTCAAATTATTATCGAGATCATTTTAGAATTGTTCTCATAACTGACAGCAGAATTAATATCAGAGTTGTTAACACCTTACTGCCCATGAAAGCCTCTTAGGGCGCACTCACACTAGGCAATCCGTACCGGGCCCAAGCACGCTTCACCCCTGAAGTCCAGTTTGTTTGACTAGTGTGAGTGCTCCGATCCGTGATCAAGCATGGTACGCTTCCTTGGCCCTAGCACGCTTCGAAGAGCAGTATGAGCCTTTGTGTTTGTAATTTAACGTTTTATTTTATTGTATAACTTTTCACCTCTTGACTCAAATTCAATTGTAATCTTGTAAATTGGCATACAGTATCATTCTTGATCTCCTCCTGGGGGATGTATCTCTGTTAATATTCAAAGTGTAACTGATTTATTTTTCACTCTTCAGGTCAGTTTAAGCTTCTGGAGCAGGACAGAGATGTGAAGGAGCCGGTGCAGTACTTCAACAGCGTGGAGGAGGTTGCCAAAGCATTCCCAGAGAGGGTTTACGTCATGGAAGAAATAACGTTTAATGTTAAGGTACTTTCATCTGCTCAAGGGATTCTAGTGATTTGTCAGACGAGATGCAAACGAACGTACCCAGTAGAGACAAACTGGGTACAGAAAGTAATCACTTATGCTAACCCGATGTTTACAGAAAGATTTGACTTCAAATAGTTTCTTCAGGCTGTTTGTTGTGTTTTCACAGATGGCTTCAGGTGAATGTAATGAAGACACTGAAGTTTACAACATCACTCTGAGCACAGGGGATGAACTGACACTAATGGGGCAGGCGGAGATCCTCTATGCAAAGACCTCCAAAGAAAAATCAAGATTCAACACCATTTTCAAAAAGATCGGGAAGCTAAACTCGATCAGTAGGATCGGGCGGGGAAAGATGCCGTGTTTGATCTGCATGAACCATCGCACCAACGAGAGCATCAGCCTGCCGTTCCAGTGTAAAGGCAGGTTCAGCACGTGCAGTCCGCTGGAGCTCCAGATGCAGGACGGCGAGCACACCATCAGGAACATCGTGGAGAAAACCCGCCTCCCTGTGAACGTCACAGTGCCCGGCAGCCCACCCCGCAACCAGCACGACCTCCACCTCATCCGCGAAGGTCACCGCTACAAACTGGTTAACATTCAGACCAAGACTGTGGTCGTATGCTGCATCCTGCGAAGCAACAAAATCATCCCCACCCACTTTCCCTTCCACATGGCCATGCCCAGGTTCATTATTCCAGAGGAGCTGCTGCAGGGCGAGCTGTGGCTGGACACCATGGTGCACCGCTGGTTCTCCTTCTGCCAGGAGCAGTTCAACATAGACGACTACTCTCGAGCCGTCAGGGACGTGCGCACGGACTGGAACGACGAGGGTAAGAGCCCCAAGAAGAGCAGCGGGAATGGAAGCTGCAGTGGAAGCAGCGGAGGGAGCTACACCAACGGCTGTCCCAACCAAATGCACATTCCCAGCTCTTTAACCTACGCCCGCGATGAACTCACGCAGTCATTCCACAGACTCTCTGTGTGCGTGTACGGCAGCAACCTGCACGGGAACAGTGAGGTGAACCTACAGGGCTGCATGACTCTGTGTGGAGACTGGGCTCCGCTGCCGTCTGACTGCATAGACTCAGGAGAGAACGAACACTTTTTCCCCGAGCTGGCGGACAGCTCAAACCAACAACGGTCCCTCGACAAGCCTGACGTCCCCTACGAGGAGCTGTGGTTGGATCACCTGAGAGGGCAGATCCCTAAACCTTCTTCAAGTGAGGGACTTCGAGGTGTCGACAACGTCTGCTCTTCAACAGCAGCTCTGTCACTCCCGGTCACGTGTCCCGTCAGTGCAGCGACCAGTTCAGATGTTTCTCTTACTCCACCACCCGTCCCACCCAAGTCCGAGGCTGTGAGTATACTCACAATCTGTGAGACTTTAAGGGTTAATCCTCAAGGTCACAGAGTTGGTTTGTTTGGCAACAGCAGGGGTAACTTTTGTAACAGGAAGTTGAGCACTCTTAAAGCAGAAATACATCAAAGTGTAATGGGGTCACAGTTTACAGTTGCATAAAGACAACGTTGTTTTATTGCACAAATCCTTTAATTATATTACATCAAAAATCATGATTTTTCTTATAAATATCGCAGCACTGTGCGGTTTGTTTACCTGGCTGATGTGTTTAAGGTGTGCCAAACATCTCTGTGGCTGAATCTTCTTCCACGACACTTCCTTCTTCTACATTTTTGAAATATCCGTTGATGAAAACAACGACCACAGCCTGTCAACATACAAGGATTATAAACTTAAAACGTCAAAATCTAATCTCATCAACTCCTGTTTGAAGACAGTGGCATTAAAAAGTAGAAGTCGTGGGCGCGCTGGTGGCACAATGGTTAGGGTGCGCGTCCCATGTATTGAGACTCTCGTCTCGAGCGGTAGGCCCGGGTTCACTTCCACCCGTGGCCTCTTTCTGCATGTCATTCCCCACTCTCTCTCCCCGGTTTCCAACTCTATCCACTGTCCTCTCTCTGCATTAAAGGCACGAAAAGGCCAAAATAAATAGAAGTCGAAGGCCCCTAATATTGGATAATTTTTTGTTTTTTATTCCCAAAGTAAACTAAACTCCTGCACTCTTGCACAAATACATTGCCAACATATTTGCGCAATTTAGACATTGCTCTCTCTCTCTTGCTCTTGCAGCAGCTCTTGGTTAACTGTGACTTTTGATCAGTAAGTTATTGGGCTTTTTAAACACATGGTATGAAGAGTATGAACATTTTGACAATCGTAGCCTCCCCATGTTCATAGCTGACATGTCTAAATGTTGGTAATAGTTAAAGATACATTTTCAGATGAAATGTGGACCATAAAGAGCATCATGACTTGATAAAAACCTTTATTCATTTGAAGCTCTGTTAGTCACGAGTCTTACTTGAAGAGAAAGGTTGTTTTTGTTTTTTAACTCTGTTCCTTCTTGTCCAGGTGAAGGAAGAGTGCCGTCTATTGAACGCTCCCCCGATTCCTCCCCGCAGTTTGAAACAGATGCCGTCAGTCCCTGTCCTGACGAAGCCTCGGCAGCAGGACACTCGTTCTCCGAGTCCAACCCTCTCCTATTACTCCTCTGGTCTCCACAACATGTAAGAGCTGAAACACTTTAAATATCAGAAACACCTCAACAAACACCACAGAACATTCCCGTTTACTAAACATGTGACCTTCTCGTTTTTAAGGCTTTAAAATGTTCTTTTCCTCCTTTTTCTTCTGCTACCTCCTGAAGTCTAACTTCACCTTTGAAGCTGGTCCCTTAAATGTTTATCTGACTCTAACTAATGAATGTCATACTTTTCCCTCAGTAGTGGAACGAGTGAGCCAGAGGCAGCTGACCCTCAGGAGCAGAGTCCTGTGTGCTACCCCTGTAACTGGGCTACGTCCAGCAGCACTGAACCAAACACTATGCTGTCCAGTGGCAGCCTGCCGTCTGACGGGAAGTCCTCCAGGTTGTCTTGGCCGAATAACTTCAGCGGAGGAGAATCCCACGGTGTGGATGAGTTCCTGCCAGCCAGCTGTCGGAGCTACTACAGCTACCCCAGAAAGAGAACCCCGAGCACCCCAAAGACCTGCACGTCCAGCCTGGTGGACTTTGATGGCAGAGAGCATGCACACAGCAGTAAGGACTTCAGGCTGCAGGAAGCCTCTCTCAACCAGTTCTGCACCAAATCTTCAAGTTACAATTCAGAGATGTACAGAGACAAACGGATAGAAGAGTCAAACACTAAGCAGAGCCGCTCTTGCCCCATTTTACCTCCCAGGACTCCAAAATCGAACGCTGTAAAGAAGTGCGTGGATTTACCGACAGGATCGATCTGTGACGGCCCACAGGAGACATCGACCAGCTCTCCGACTCAGACAGAGCCGGGCACTAAAGAGATATTTTCCATTTCCAACACATTAACTCCGGACTGCCCGTCCTGGCAGCCCCCGTCCTGTCTGTCGGGTCTGTCCATCGAGGAGGTTTCTAAATCTCTGAGGTTTATCGGACTGCCAGACGACATTGTGTCTCTGTTTGTGTCCGAGAAGATCGATGGGAATTTACTCCTGCAGCTAACGGAGGAGATTCTGTCTGAGGACTTCAAGCTGAGCAAACTGCAGGTGAAGAAACTGATGCAGTTCATTAACGGGTGGAGGCCAAAGATCTAACTAAGAGTATGTGACACTAAACCCTGTGAGGACACAGAGACGGCTATGCCTTCAGTATATATGCTAAGTATGCAGACACACACACCAAGACACACAGTTTGTTTTTGTACTACATGAATGATTTCCTGGTTCCTTTAATGTGTGGGAGACTCGCTCCTGTTTGAAGTCTGTGACTGTGAATCATCGGGCACTTTCATGAAGGCGTTTTCATGTCGGCTTCTTCTTAGTACTTTTCACCCAAAGTCTACAACGTGTTCATCAACAAACAAGGCGCTTATTTAAAGTAAAAAACATCTGACACAACAAGGACGAGAAAAAACACTAAAGCCCAGTTTCCACCTAGCAGTCCGGTTCAGTTCGGTACGGTCCACATTTATTGTCGTTTCCACCGTCAAAAGTTGGGAAGGGTACCAAAATAACCGATTTGTACCGTCCTACTTTTTTGCTACCTTTCTGTTGGGGTGCCAAGGGTACTGATCCGTCCCTAAAAGAGCTAGGCACACTGCAGTCTGTTGATTGGTTGAACTTCCCGTTCGACAGTGGTTATAAAGGACAAACAAAACCCTCCATGTTTAAATATCCTGTGAATTTGAAGAGAGTCATTTCAAGGCTGTTTTTCTTTTTTTTTTGTGACCACTGTCAGCTCGTAGCTCCGCCCCCATGGACGACCTCTGAGATGCAGACTTACCAAGGAATCATTGATTTTTGTTTACTGTATCATGTTCTTCTTCTTAGTTGGATTTATTGGCAGTCTAAGTGATGTGTTAGGGTACAGTTGGCTGTGGAAACGCAAGCAAGATCTGGATTTACTGAACCAAACCGCTTGGTGGAAATGTTGCTTAAATACATTTTAATGTTAGAATATCACAACATCCTTTAAGTCCTAGACTTTTAAAAGATCACAAAACAACCAGAGCTGACTAATGGACTATGAGCCGTATGTGGATGGATTTAATTAGCAGAGCTGTAACATTGTTGTAGTTCAGTCAGATGTGAAATAAGGAGGAGGAGCGCGGAGTTAATTCCTGCAGACTTCTCACAGGGTCACTTATAGAGGATGTTGCTGCAAGGTCTTTCTCAACATCCTTTTCACTCCCTCAGTCTTAAAGTAGGAACCAGCTCGCAGGTTTTAAAACACCTAGAGCGGCTAAGCCTAAACCTTAAAGCCACTGAGGGGCTAACATAAACGGGCTAATCTAGCCTATTAATGGACGCGCTTGCCGGCTTCGCTCCTGAGCGTAAGAATTCGAAATAAGACAGTCCAATATCTTCTTCGTTTATATTTATTTCTCATTCCATCGTTTTCTTGATCACTGTCACGTGAGCTGTTCAATCAATAATCCAGACATTTCCATTCACTCCTGTTACCTCATAGCGTGGCTTACAGCGGTCAAAAAAGTTTAATTGCTCCCCGTCTAGCAACACCTGACACCCCAGTGATAGTTCCTACATATATATATATACACACACACACACACACACACACACACACACACTTCCTAAACATGGCTCCTACAATACCGTTAAACTTGTCTTCAGGGTGACTCTGACATCTTTCAACCTGAAGCTCGTTTCGTCCACATAGTGGGGTTGAAATGGTTAATAGGTACAAAAGTTTCAGAAAACACGAGTCATTCATTCAGCTGAGTCCTTTAAGGCGACTGTTCCCGATCAAAGTGCTCAGCGTGTGTCGGGTAATGGGTAACATCATACAAGGTGAACAAATTAGAGAAGCAGCAACATCAGGGGAGCAGCTTAGCTCAGAGTGGTAGTCGAGTGGTCTCTCACTGAGGACAGCATGCAAACCTGTGTCACGCCCTGCGCACGCACACACACGCGTACACACACGCGTACACAAACACACACACCCACACACACGCGCGTACACACACGCGCGTACACACACACACACGCGCGTACACACACACACACGCGCGTACACACACACACACGCGCGTACACACACACGCTCGTCACTCTGTTTCTGGGACACACGTTGAAGTTCTTCTTTGTTTCAGCTTCTCCTTATTTTTGATACACAAACTATTCAACTCTAAATACACAGAAGCCTCTTAATAAGAACTGCAACACCAGGCTACTGAAAGAGACAGCCTTAAATAAGGATATTTATTTTTAATCGCATAAATGGCGTGAACGCTCAGCTGACGAGTCCAAAGTAATATGAACCTTGTGACATCAAACATTTGCCCGTTCCCTTTAGCTCATTAGCTCACGTTTAGATCTGAAGCCAGTTCATTCTCCTGTGGTCAAGTTAATGTTGTGACTTTTGATCCACCAGAAGTTTCTTTCTTTCTTTCAAAATCAAAGTATTTTTTCATAAATAAATAAAGTAACTTAGCCTTTAATCGTATAAAAAAAAGCCTAACAAAAACTGTTTTAGAAATCAAATAATGGAACTACAAACATGGCGAGTCATCGTGGTTAAAACAATATAATATAAAATCAGATTTCCTGGTGTCTCGTCTTTGAAGTCCGGTCTGCATCAGAGAAACGTTCATTAATGTAAGGTTAATCTGTGAGTCTGTAGTGATGTTCACTAACTTAGAAAAAAAGAAAAGGAACAAAGCGAGGAGATGTGTGATAAATCATTTAAAGGTACAGTCCTTAAAAATAAATTAATAATAACCAAAAATATCAGCAACGGTCTGTACGTTGCTCTGACTACATCCTTAGAATGTGCAAACTCGAATGATCATCGGTGTCTTTGTGTGCAACATGATGTCATTTAAAGATCTTTCTATTTGATGCCTTTTAATCTGAATTTAAATGAACTCTTAGTACATGTTTTAAAGGAGCAATATGTAACTGACACCTAGTGTTTAAAATATGTCTGACTTGGACTAAAGAGAATCCCGTCCTAACGTCCAGCAGCAGTAACAGACCATGACGGTCTCCAGAGAATACTAATTATGCATCGAGCACTTTGGTGGATTTCAGACTAATTAGTGGCGTTGACGGTTGTTAAATATAAAGTTATTAAAGAGTCTATAAAAATGTTTTTAAAGAGGTACTTATGTTGTTCTCTCTGTTTGTACACTAACTGCTCTAACGCTAAACGTCTGCGCCTTAAACCCAGAGGCCTTAATGTTTCAGATAGTTTCCCTTGTGCTCAACATTTCCCTCCCTGTCTTCATGAGAAGCTCCTGATGGGACAGAATATTACAAAGTGTTTCCCAGAGAGCTCAAACTCAGAGCCATCTGTGACAGTGACATGTGTTTTATGGTACCAATCATTCTTAACTATGAACTCAGTTATTTAATTTATGCAGCCATGAAACTCCATGTATAAATATGCAGAGCAGTAAATGTGAGATGTGTGTGTGATTCATGAAGGTGCCTCAGTAACAGCAGCCTCTGTACCAACACGCAGGTCTGATCTGTTCTTCTTTTGTATTATTTTGCTCGCTGACACTTCTTGCAGCGGGATGTTACATATTTTTATTTTATATGTAAGTGCAAATATATAATGTCATTTTTTTTAAAGAATGATTACTAATGTTGAAAATATTTTTATTGAAAAAAAAAAAACTCATGTTCAAATGTACTTCTTGTTAATCTTGTAAAAGTCAGCAGTCAGCTGACACCCAGTCAGCTGGAAGCTACACTCAAACGACATGCACAGAGACCAAAAAAAATCTACTTTATACTCCTCCTGTCCAGATTGTTCTGCAGCTCTCCTCCAACATGTCTGTCCCCTAAAGGTCACATATTATACAACATTTTCATACAACACTAACATGTGTCCCTAGTCCGTCTACAAAACCCCCAATGATGAGAAAAGTCCATAAAAAATGTGTGCTCAAACAGGCCGTTAGGAGATTTTCCCTTCATGACATCACAAAGAGCAGTAGCCCCTTCCCCAGGTGGGTGACACTCCCACAGCTAGGTGTTTGTTCTGCCCTCTGAGTCTGCCTTCTCACAGTAAACAATAGGACATGGAGCGAGAAAGCCCTTCAAGAGAGGGGGTGTGGTCAGACACAGCTCATTTACACATTTAAAGGTACAGACACAGAAACAGCCTGTTATGAGCAGGGCTGAAATAGAGGGGTTTATAGACATGACCAAATACAGGATCAGAGTGGATTTAGAACAAGAAACAACACATGTTTTAAGGAGCTCTGACACTTATTTAAACTGGTTGAAGAGGAGGATATGTGATCTTTAACTCTTTAATAACATGGTGGTTAATGTTCTATGCAAAGTCTCTGCAGAGACCGGAAGAACAAAACGGAGTATTATGTTTAAAATCACAGCAGTGTTTGTTTCAGGGGGAATCAAAATGCTAAAGGATGTGAACCTGAATACTCCTGAATAGTCTGTGAACATGTGACCCTCCGTCATCCCCACAGTGGTGATACTGAAGTGATGGAAGTGTGTGAACTGTGGACGCATGAATTAATGTGGAGGTGAATAAAGAACTGTGACTCTGGGTTTGATTACATTTGATCAGCATTTCTGAAAACTGAACTTACTGACGGTTATGTTTCGACTTCTGTTTTTTTTGATTGTATAATCTATTAAAAATGGATTAACTGATGTGTGTGTGTGCTCTCTTTTCATGTTCAGCAGCGTGTCGTCGCCTGATTAAACTCCTCTGACTCGTCTGAGCTAGAGTGGAAACATGACGGTTACTGGTGGGCTGTGATGGGAATGATGGGACTGCAGAGGTTCTCAGAGGGCTGCTTTTTGAACATGAAACTTTAAATAATGTAAATTGATAAGATAGATGAGATCATCTTTTCTAACCCCCCCCCCCCCCATTGGGGTTAATTATCATGTTTCAACAGTACTAGTTATTAGCATGAAATCGTTTTAAAGTTCTGGTATGTTGACTGTCCCGTTCTGTTTAAACACGAGTTGATTTCATGCAGTCAAAGTGTTACTGTAGTCAGTCAACAGGAAGCAGATAGTTGTCGGCAGAGCTCTGCAGGTTCTTCTTTTCTTCTTCCAGCTGCAGCTTCCGACCTTACACCAACAGGTTAACCTCACTTCTGCTTATTAGGACTCCGCTCTTGTACGAACAACGTCTATATTTATCTAAACAAGAAAGTGGATTGGCCACAAGAAACATGCATCCTGTACAAGAAGGGCTGAGGTGGACTACACCCGCTGAGGGGGCTGAGGTCCATTGGAGCGTGCAGGACTCTGATACACTCTGATTTTCTATGCTGTGGTCTGCTGGGCAGGAGCGGGTGGGAGAGGGAGGGATTCAAACTGGTCAGGTTCTGTCCTGGACTGGACTCTGTTAGCCAAGCATGACACAGAGGGCTCTGAGCAGCTCCTTCAGCAGCAGACTCAGGTCGTTCACCCCCCCTGCAGTCAGACTCTCTAACAGCATCACCACCACGTCACTCGCTGGGGAAATGTTTAACCTGAACGCATCATCATGTTGGTCATAATCAATAAGTTTAGAACCTCAGTCTGAACTTGCATCCAGAAAATGTTAATGATTCGATTTTTTGTTTATTACGGGATGAATTGTAATTACTTTGACTCCAGAGTCCAGACTTTAAGATTTTTATTTTTCACTAAGTGTGATCTTTCTGTTACACAGATTTATATTTCAACAGGTACAAAAAGAAACTCAAACATCCCATGATCCCTTAAACCATAACCATCATCCACTAATCCATCATCTAAACCGCTTTTCCTGTTAGGGGTCACGGAGGGGCTGGAGCCAATCCCAGCTGTCATTGGGCGAGAGGCGGGGTTACACCCTGGACTGTTCACCAGCCAATCGCAGGGCAGACATATAGAGACAGACAACCAGACACACTCACATTTAGTTAACCTAACGAGCATGTCTTCGGACTGTGGGAGGAAGACCAGGAGAGAACCCACAAATGAATGGAGAGAACATGCAGACTCCTCAGAGAGACTCCTGTCAGACGGGGATTCAAACCAGGAACCTCCTCGCTGTGAGGGGACAGTGCTTACAACCACCCACAGTGCCACCCCATAACCATCATCTACAAAATCAACTCGTCATATTTGAACACAAACCTTTTCAAAGTCATTAAATCGTTGTGAACGCTAACTTCTCAGACCCACGGCTCCCAGCCCATCCACACTCGGCCCAGCACGTTGGGGTCCATGGCCTGGTCCAGCAGACAGTCGACCTGCTGCTCCACAGACAGGCCGTCTGCAGGAAGACGAGCTCGTACGTTGTGCTCCTCGGTCCCCAACACCACCGACTGCATCCCCGAGAAGGCTTCAGTCTTCTCGAAGCCCAGCTTGAGCTCCTCACTGAAATAAAACCAGATCATTTCAGGGTTAAACTGTGTTTTCTGTTGTATTCGGAAGACCAGTTTTTTGACTTTTGGTCATGAGGAAGTCATTTTGAAAATGTTTTTCTCCAGTAGCTTAAAAATGGATCCTGAAAAACCAGTTGTGTGTTCATCAATCTTGATTTAACTTGTTTTGGTTTCCTTTCTCGTTATGACGTCTTACTGTACATAGCAGACACATTTCGTGTGTGTGTGTGTGTGTGTGTGTGTGTGTGTGTGTGTGTGTGTGTGTGTGTGTTAGTACGGTAGTATCCTATGTGAGGCCAGAGGGAGGGGCCCAGTTTGAATGTTTTGTTTACAAACATTTCTACTGACTCCACCTTTAAATGTAACCCCTGTGCTGTCTCAGATGGATCAAACCATGTAGATGTAATAACAGGATGATGTACCTGGTTATAGCCGCTGGATTGGCTCCTTCCAGTTTCCGTCTGGCGAAGTTGACCTTCTGTAGAGGATACCAGTTGATCTCTTTAGTGTTCACGTCCTCCGTCCACGTTCCTCCTTTCTTCAGCTGCTTCAGCTCAAAGTTCTGAGAAGCAGGAAAGAAAAATGACATCAAAGAAACTGACAGCTCGAGAATCATTATTTTATTTACAGATCTCAGAGGGAGGAGAGATGTTTTTATTTACAGATCTCAGAGGGAGGAGAGATGTTTTTGTTTACAGGACCTCAGAGGGAGGAGAGATGTTTTTGTTTACAGGACCTGAGAGGGAGGAGAGATGTTTTTGTTTACAGGACCTCAGAGGGAGGAGAGATGTTTTTGTTTACAGGACCTCAGAGGGAGGAGAGATGTTTTTGTTTACAGGACCTCAGAGGGAGGAGAGATGTTTTTGTTTACAGGACCTCAGAGGGAGGAGAGATGTTTTTGTTTACAGGACCTCAGAGGGAGGAGAGATGTTTTTGTTTACAGATCTCAGAGAAAGGAGAGATGTTTACCTTCCAGTCCAGCGACGGCTCCTTCACAAACACGTCCATGGTGTTGAGCAGGAGGTCCGGCTCCGCCCTGTACGCTCGGAGGGCGTGGACCATGACGCTCTGGATCAAACCCGACTCCTTTAACGGCTGCATCAGATTCACAAACTGCTGAGTCAGCCGGAAAGGCATGAGCTCAGGCACGGGGAGGAACTGAGAGGAGACAGGAGGTTAATGACACAGGAGGCGGTCTTTTTTCACAGAGGGAATATTTGTTGATGCTGATTCATCATATTTAAATAGGATTTCTAAACATTTATTCAGGATGAAACGTTTGCAGGTCCAAACCTGTGTGGCCGAGCCGAATGCATGACCGAAGTCGATGCCGACCATTCCTCCAGTCTCCATGTTGATCATGAAGTTAGAGAGATGGCGATCTCCGATCCCCAGAATCCAGTGACTGATGCAGAGCAGAGCGTGAGAGCTGATGAAGTGAGAGCGCAGTGAGAGGAAGGCCTCGGGGCCGTTACACATCTTCAGAAAGGCTCGTCTGTGAAGATGAAGGAGAACAGAAAAATGCATCAACAGAGTCCTCATGAAGATTAATGAATGACATCATTAAAGTCAAAGTAGACGTAGATTCATCTTACTTCAGGAGATCAGTCGGCCAATGCTGCAGCACCTTCAAAAAGGTGTTCACGGTGTCGTTACGTTTGGCTTTCCTGGATTCAAAATAAGAAAGTTAAAACCACCCTGAGATGTCGTAGTCGAAGATGAGAATAGTTTTACAATGTTGTGTTTAAAAAGGAGAACTCAGTCGTACTTGTAAGCCGGAGCGTACATCGCTGCAGGTTTAGGTGCTTTTGGATGAAACGACGAGAGCCATTTTTTGTAGTTTTCTACAGACCTGAAAGAAAAAGGAAAAGTGTTTTGTCATTTCTGCTCATCAGCAAAAACATTAAATATTCTTTAAAGGTGACATATCCTCCTCTTCTTCAGTGTAAATGAGTCTCAGAGCTCCTCAAAACATGTGTGTGAAGTTTCTTGTTCTAAATCCACTCTGATCCTGTATTTGATCATGTCTATAAACCCCTCTATTTCAGCCCTGCTCAGAACAGGCTGTTTCTGTGTCTGTACCTTTAAATATGTAAATGAGCGGTGTCTGACCACACCCCCTCTCTGGAAGGACGGGTGTACTCGGTCTTTCTCGCTCCATGTCCTATTGTTTACGGTGAGAAGGCAGACTCAGAGGGCAGAGCAAACACCTAGCTGTGGGAGTGTCACCCAACTGCAGGCGAGCGTGGGAAGGTGTGTGTGGGGGGGGGGGGGGGCAATCGTGCTTAAGGTGGGTAAGGGACAACTGGGACTGGTGTGAGTGCACCCTAAGAGTCAGGCTGTGACACAAAGAAACTTCTCCATCATGATTTGGACAGTTTACTGAGAATTAAAGGCAATGAAGTAGAAGTTTGTCTTAAAGATGTCAACAGTGGGTTAGAAACGGATGTTGGCAAGGAGAGAATTTAGAGACCTATCAACACCTTTTTTGCACCATGCAGCATCTGATTCCATGTGGGAACTGCTTTGATTCCCATCGTCCCCAGTTTAAAAACGTTTTTTTTGCGTATCTTACAGGTTTCCTCATATTCTTTAAACCATTCCCTGTGTATACTGTACCCCTCTGTTCTTTTCTCTTCTTCTTTAGTCAAGGTGTTGTACAGGAACTCTTTGAGCGTGCACGTGTTCTCCATCCATTCAATCAAACCAATCCTGTGATGGCGGGGAGAGAGGTGTTAGCTAACTGGATCATAACTAAAAGAAGGTTATGAAACATCAGGAGGCCATGCTGTAATATTAATTAATAATATTTCTGAGTGTAGCGAGCGTGTGTGTCTCAGTACCTGGTGCTTATGGGGATGACCTGATACGTGCGCAGCGTCAGTCCTCTGTGTGTACAGGCGGCGTCATGACTCAGCAAAATGTTCATGACAGAAAACAACTGCTCGATGCGTTGGTCCTGACGAAGGTCCTCTCCGCCCTTCACCAGGAACGGGTGGTCCTGCTCGTCGTCCCCACGGATGATCAGACGTTTGGGCTGGCGGATAGAGGACATCACCTTCACCTGCAGGGGGAGACACACACTGACTCACAGGACAGCAGGACGGAGAGCGTTCATGTTGGACAGAGAAGAAGAGTTAGGTCGTACCCTCTCATCAAAGCCTGTGATCTTTGCGTGATACTCTGGAAGAGGTTTGGACCTGCCGTCATATTGACCTGCAGGGAAGAGGAAAAAAAACACAATCACAATAAAAATGGCTCCAAACAGAAAGTGAGAAGGTTTCCAGCAGAGCGGGGGTGTGACTGACCGGGGATCTCCAGCTCGTTACTGAAGGCGTCTGCTTTGAATCCGCTCAGCCACGGCGAGTACTCCTTCAGGTTCCCGGGTTCCTTCTGATAAAACCCTCTCATGGACGCAACCAGTTCCTCCACCTGCTTCACCCTGCTTCTGTCTTTCCTCTTCTTAAACAGCGTGACGCCTTTAGGACCGAGCACATTCTCCATGTCTTTGGCAAATCTCTGCAATGAACACCAAAAGAACGGTGAGTGAGGGTGCTCTCACACGAGACAATCCGTACTGTAGCGTGGCACGTTTGACCCCCAAAGTCCCTCCATACTGTGCTCAGGTACAGTACACCTGCTTGGCCCTGGCATGGTTAGAAGAGGTCTGCTTACATTACATTGCAATACATTTTGTGTTTTTTATAATTTTTTTACAAGTTTTTATAATTAATTATAATTTATATTTTACATTTTTAAATTCTATTTTATATATTGTAATATCTTCTTATTCTGTATTATTTAAGTTGTTGCTAGTTGTGCTTTATTTCCTTGTTAATTGTTTAGCATCAATACACCAAGTCAAATTCCTTGTATGTTTAAATGTACTTTGCAATAAACCCCGATTCTGATTCTGATTCTGATTCTTAGGCATGGTACAGTTCTCATGCACGAACAGAATAAAATAGATGTTTATTGCCATTTGCACAGGTACAGGACAGTACAGGTAGATTGGAAGTTTTGTGCGTTTCTCCCTGAGTCAGCTTCTGCAAAAAAGTTAAAATTATATATGAAATAGAATAGCATTATAAGAAAAAAAAGAGTAGAAAAGTACAAAAAAAGTAAAAGTCAGAATAAATAAGTTGTAGTAAGTTGATTTAAAATAAACTGTACGGAAGCTATACACTGTATAAGAAGCTATACACTGTATAAGAAGCTATACACTGTATAAGAAGCTATACACTGTATTAGAAGCTATACACTGTATAAGAAGCTATACACTGTATAAGAAGCTATACACTGTATTAGAAGCTATACACTGTATTAGAGCAAAGATATAATACAAAAAAAATAACAAAGGGGAACACTGTACATGGACATGACTGACAATCAATCCCTGCCTCCATTATCGATGAATCCAGGAGTGTTAAGGCGCTGACACACCAAGGAGATCGTCCTACTCAGACCGACAGTCAGCGATTGTCGCCCTACTTTCTGCAGTGTGTCCAGCTCTGTTGCTACCCTCGTCTGCCTTTTTTTCGGCGGATTCGATTTGTTGAATCGGCCAGTGGGTTTGGGACAACTCGGCCTAGTGTGAGTATGCCCTAAAATGATATTTAGTTTCTAAGGAGCCGTGTGGCTTCACAAAAGAATGACAGATTTTTTTTAAAAAAAGAACAAACCTGGATAAACTTCTTGCGAAACTTCCCGTGTCCCTCGGCGTTCTGATCCCCGAGTGACGAGTACATCTCCTCGTAAAGGCGGGTCATCTGCTTCTCATTGAAGCTCGCTTTCTCCAGCTCATTCTTCACACAATCCCACCAGTCCTGTGTGTGAGGAACATGTTTAATAATCAGTGAAAGGGGACTGTAAGGCCGCACTCTTATTTATCAACATGTTACCTTGAATATCATGTCGGGGTTGGTCAGCTGCTGCAGAGCGTCCACAAACTTCTTCACAGCTCCGCCTTTATCCAGCATGCTCCTCAGCCTGCACACACACAAACAAGCCACAGAGTACGTTAGAGTTATACTGTGCACTTATGTTTACTAAACAACTAGGTATGATATGAACTTCCAAACTCCATTCGATCTGCAGAGTCCCTCTGCACCTTTAAGAAAAAGCTAAAGACCCAGCTCTTTCATAAATACCTACTAACTTCATGATGATGGTCTCCATATTATTGATGATGATGATGATGATGATGGTAATGACGATTGTTTTTGTTTGATAACGATGACTTATAAGATGGTTTCTATACTGATTAGAGCTCTCAAGAACTGCCCTCAATGTTGTGCTTTGCCTCAGATCACTTCCTGTCAGCACCTGTGTGTCCAATCAGACTCAAAGCTGATCATTTGCTCTTACTGACAATGTTCCCTTTTTTCTAGATCCTTGCTTGTGTTGTACTTACTCTCTGATGTACGTCGCTTTGGATAAAAGTGTCTGCTAAGTGAAATGTAGAATTGATACACTACTCATACAACTGGAACCACTGGTACTGACGAGAACGGGATGAAGATGCACACGAGAAAACTGGGCCGAGTGTGAGTACTTAGGCTTTGACTTTGATTTGTTTTGAATTGAATCAAATGAAATGTTTGAGAAGTGAAACTGTATCTGGTGTCTTTTGAAAGTCGGCCTCTCGTTTACCTGTAGACAAACTGTTGCTGCTTGTGTCCTGTGGCCGAGTCCTCAAACTGATAACTCTCACTGCTGATCATGAGCGCGTACACCAGAGCCTGAGGGTAACACTCAGCGATCTGCCCGACACAGTGCTGCACGGCCACCGCCTCAGGCTTATCCAACAGAGCCACCATCTGACTGATCCAGCCAATCAGCATCCAGCATGGGACTGACATCATCTACACACAGAGTGATCACATGGTAACCTTACATTAAAGGCAATCCTCTATGTATGAGTATGAGCTGAAGATCTAAACACACACCTCTCTGGTCATGAGGTCCAGAGTCTCAGACGGGTACGACTCGATGATCTGCAGCAGACGAGGAAACTTCAGTCGAGCTTCTTCAGAGTTCATCTTCAGAGCCTTCAACATGCTCTCCACCACGTGAACAGGCAGCGACAACATGTCGGGAAACTGGCTCTCTGGAACCACACACACAAACGTGGAAGATGGAAACAAAGGACAATACCGCTGGACTGTTTTGAACAAGTTAGCTTTCTTTTTGAAGTTTGCATCAAACACGTTTGTCAAAATGCACAAAACGAGTTTGTTTTCAGGCTGACATTGAACACATCTCTGCAGGACTGTGTGTGTGATCTGTATGTTAAGAACGGTCGGATTAGTTTTTCCTTGCCATTGTTGTTTAAAATCTGATATTAGAAGTCCCATCCTTCTTGATTTTGATTGGTCGGTTAGGGAGGAGTGACATTTAGGAGCAGGGCGGTGTACCAAAAGTTGAATTATTTCAACTAAGGCGTCTCGATATACAAACAATGATTGGTTGATTGATTCCCTACTCTCTCTCTCTCTCTCCCTGGTTTCTACTCTATCCACTGTCCTGTCCATTAAAGGTAAAAAATCTACAAATGGACGCCTCTACTGCAGGAAACGGCGTTCGTGGAAGACACGGGTCCTAAAGAGCAGAGCAGTTTGGAACAGTTGACCTTCCTCTACATCAGGAAAACTGTTAAACCAGGAGGCGTGTGTGTGTTCTTAAATTTGTGTTCAAATCAAATTTCTCACCTGTCTCCCTCTGCTCCTCGTCTCGCAGTATTTTGTCACAGAAGTTTGCTAAAGCCATGTACGTCTCAGTGATGCTGCTGCTCGCCACACACTCCTGAGAGAACGACTGAAGCTCTTCATCCGCCTTCCTGGAGGCTTCACGCAGCAGCGTCAGGGCTTTGAGCTGCAGCCCGACCTCCACTGTCTGCAGGGCGAGCACATTCAGCAGCTCCAGTCACACTGAACTCTTTCTGATTTTGATATGTTTAAGAATCATTCAAAGAATATATAAGTAGAGTACCTTTGGGTTTTCATTTGGCCAAGCCGTTCCTGAAAGCATCACAACTTTCTCGGCTTTCTTCGCGTCGACGGTCTCCAGCACCGAGGGGCTCCTGCTCAGGGCCGTGGCCAGGATGTGGAAGGACGAAGCCTGGAGGATCTTTTGGTATCTGAACACTTTGGCGGAAGCGCTCTGACAGTCGGCCTGCAGGTCCTCTGCAGGGAGGAGACACGTGGACACAAACAGGAGATCAAGATGTCACAAATGTTAATCATCTCTCTCAAGAGATCGGCACAGAGATCTGTTAAGCCGTTTTCACATATGCACTCCAGATAATATTAGAGCACAGAGATCGTAGTGGTCGCGGGCAGACACTTTAGCCGGTCACTATATATAAACGTCATTCTCTTTCCGTTGGCTCAAATTGAAATCTCCAGAGTATATGCTGCCACGTTCAGACATCAGCTCACTCGGATTTTCTGCAGATAAAATACTAGGGGTCTGGAGGAGAAACTCTGGGTAAAATCCGCACATAAAATGTGTCTGTTTGCGTTCACACATAGTCTGAAGAACCTCTGGGTAGACTAATCTCCAGAGTTTTTTAGGAGATTTCCGTAAGTGTGAAAAGTGTTTTACTTCTCTCAGGTGTTTGATATCGTCTGCTCACCCAGCAGAGGGATGGTCTTCATCATGGCGTTGACCTGCTCCACGGCTCCCTGCCTCTGGCTGCGTTTGTGGCTGTATCGACTGAAGCTGTGGACCCAGCGCAGCAGCCAGCGTCTGTCTGTTTTAGCGTCTCTGTGCAGATCCTTCAGCAGCTTCGTGGCCACAGGAAAGTTGTTCTGAAAGCACAATCTCGTTTGAATATTTGCTACTACCACCAAGATTTACACGGTGAGTTTGAGGTTCTGAGGACGGCACATCAAAGCGTCTCCTCGGTTTGTTTCTTCACCTGCTTCCACGCGCTGTCAGCCATCCGCAGCTTCATGTTGAACTTGCAGTCATTCACTAACGCGTCGATGTCGTCGTCCGAGCCGTCCACCTCCATGCTGTCAGAGGGGGCGTGGCCCCGCAGCTTCTCCCTGATCTTATCCAAGAAGAAACACCTGAAACAAAAAAGATCATATCTGACACTGTGTGCGAAGATCTGAAAGCTGAGCGTGAGGTTTCCTTACCGGGACGTGATGATGTCATCCCATAAGTTCACTGGATCAGCCTTGGTGTCAGGATAACGTTCAGTCCAGAGTCTGATGAGCCGCTTCAGGGAACTCACAGAAACTATTATAAAGGAATGTAGTTAGAGTCAACACACTGAGGGAGACTAAAACAGTTTACCCTAAAAACTTACCCTCTCCTCTAACGAACAGCAGGAAGTCCTGGATTTCCGTCAGGGACTGTACAGACTGCAGGGTGGTGAGCCGACTCTGAGTCAACAGAGTATCAACACTGGAGTAATTCTATGAGAGGAAAAGAGGAGGTGAGACCAGAATGCATTTCTGAAAACACAAGTTCTCCAAAGATTTCCACAGAACAAACATAAACATGCACAACACACTTTGCTGTAAATATGTTGTGTTTTCTTGCTTGAACAGCCAGAATTAAAAATGATGAATCAGCTTTTTAAAGTCTCGGGTAACAGACAGAAGACGTGTGCATGTGACAGCAGACCTCCATGAAGAGCTGCATGGCGTTGTTGGTGTAGTATTTAGCACGGTCGTAGTCCTCCTGCAGGATGTAAAGCAGGCTCAGCTCCTGGCTGTATTTACTCTCCAGCAGCTTCTTGTGCTCCTCCACCCTCATGGCTTTGTCGATGAAGCTGAGGAGAGTTTGGTCCGTCTCCCCGAGCTGCAGCTGCTTCAGCATGCTGCGGATCAAGTGGGGCAGGTACATCTCCTGACACAGCACACAAAAAGGTACATGTTACATCACTCAAACAAAAGGTCAGATTTAGGGCTCTGCTGCATCCACTTCTGCTGCAGGAATGTTTGCTGCACCCAGACCAAGTTTAACAGGTATGCATGAAAATGTTCAGTGTTTGTATTTCTTTTTTTTTTTTTTTTAAGATTTATTTTTGGGCTTTTTATGCCTTTAATGGAGAGATAGGACAGTGGATAGAGTCAGAAATCAGGGAGAGAGAGGGGGAATGACATGCAGGAAAGAAGCCACAGGTGGGATGTGAACCCGGGCCGCCCGCTTGAGACGAGAGCCTCCATACATGGGGCACACGCACTAACCACTGCGGCACCAGCGGCCCAGTGTTTGTATTTCTGAACAGCAGACAGTCTTCAGGGGCAGACAAAGGGCTGGGTGCAAAATATTGAGAGTAAACAGTTTTTCATGGGAAGCCCTAAAACAAAGCACAAACAGCACTACAATAGGAACCTCTTAAATATGCAGTCGATGGCAGGTTTATACTTAAAGTCTATGTGCAGCACCTGGTTGAGAGGCTCGGACCACATCCTGTCCAGGTTGGGTGGAGTGTTTTCATCGATGTAAACCGTGGAGCAGTACTGGAGAGACTTCCAGTCGGTCAGGTGACCGTAGGCCTCCATCGCAGCTTCGTCCCAGAAATCCTTCTCTGAGGCTGTGGGCTCGCCGTCGCTCCACTCCGTGGTGTTCAGAGCCTGAAAGTACGAGGAGAAGAGAGGACTCACTTATACACTGCAGTGCTCCACACACAGCACGCTCAATCTGCAAACGTTTTCAAACCCGAAGATTTAACCCTTGAACCACCTCGTTGTAAAGCTTCACAGCTTCTGCAAAGTCTGAGTTGGCTTCAGCTTGCAGAGCGGCACAGGTGATCGACTTGGTCCCAACTTTCCCTCCAAAGATGCCGCGCACGACATCATAATCCTCCAAAGATCTGTACAGCCTGCAGAAAACAGAGCGTGCTTAGTACACTACAATAAAGCAGTTCTAATCACTACAATGAGATTGATCTGCACCTTGAAGGCTGACAGGTGAAATCTCAGTAATGTGTAGAGACAGAAGTGAGATATCACTTCATACAACAAAGCAGCAGACTACAGATACACTTCAAGTTCATACAAAAAGTCATCATCATACTTAGCCAGGTTGATCCACTTCTTGGTGTCGGGGGGGATTTCTTTGCGTCCTCGTGACCGTTTGGACGGAGGTTCGTCGTGTCCTGTGGTGTGTAACAAACCCTCCTCCAGGAGCAGGATCCCAGCCGGCTGCTGGAGGCTCACCAGGCAAGTGGAGCTGATGGCTGCAGGGTCGAGATGCTGCAGACCTTTATGCTGGAAGCACATGTCCTGACAAACACAAGCAGCAGAGGGTCAGCTCAACTCATCAAACCTGCATCATTAGGGGTAACTGCACAGCAAATCTTTTCTTCAGGCTTTCATGCAGCAACCCCTCCCCTCACTGAGGACAGGGAGAACAGCTCGTGAAGGTCGTACCTGCACACATGCGATGAAAGGAGGGAAGCAGACAGTGCTCTTGCTCAGGAATGTGTTCATGTACGTCTGCAGCTCCTCTGTAGTCCTCGCGCTCTCTCCTCTCGCTTTGTGTCTCTCCATCTCTTGAAGGATTCCAGCGAACAGAGAGCTGAACAGCTGTTTGGCTAAGATGGGATCTCTCTGAAAGAACATTGCAGAGGAAAGACACTTAACACTGACTGTGAGAAAAGTTGATGGTTGTATGTTGAGATGGGGGGGCGAGGAGGGTCTTACCTGTGCCAGAGCTTGCAGGGGGGTGATGAGGCTGCTGTATGAGATCTGGATGTCTGGAAAGTCTCCCACTCTGTAGTTTCGATAAAGAGTCACCTGAGCCTCTTTTCTCAGCCTCTGGTCGGCTTTATCTTCCTGCAGGACACAAACAAACCCACTGATGGTGAGAGACTCTGGTACAAATCTGAATCAGTGAACAGGTTGTCGCATGAGTTGTACCTGTTTCTGTCTTTGATGTTGGATCTCTTTTTGTGCAAACTTCAAGCTGACTTTCTCCTGATCCTTCAGAAATCTGCGTCTCAATCTCAGGATGTTGTTACGCTGCTCGTTCGCTGCTGTTGACATTTAGACACAAAAGATATCAACATTTACAGATGTTCATCTACAACAAGATTTTGTTTAACACGACAATGCAAGCTACAGGCAACTGCAGCTTGAACTGAGGACAATTTTGTCCGCAGCTTTTGGTCTTGTCCATGTCTTGAGCCCTTCTGGAAAGATGTGAAACTATTAATCGCAGAGACCCTGAACATCACATTGGATTTCTCTTTCACATCCCTCTACCTCGGGAAAATTCCAGAAGGTCTAAAAAGGACATAAACCTTTTAAAGATTCTTATGGTGGCAAGTAAAAAAGTGATTACTAAATTTTGGCTTCAGGGGAACCCTCCCACCATGAGACTCTTGAGGCACATTGTGAATTCAATCAGTTTTAAGGAAAAAATGACTTTTGTCCTGTGACTTCAAAAGGAGAAGAGAGAAGAATATTGGAGAAAATGGGATTTATACAAAGATAAAGACTCCTAAATATATCTTGTTTCATTAGAATGTACCATCCATTATGTACTGTACCTGTGCCTTTTACATTCTTGTATTTGATCTCATTCATACTGTCTTGCTCTAATCCTCACTTGTTCTGTGTTTCTTGTAAAACAAAGATGAAAAATAAAGTATAAAAAAAATAAAATAAGAATAATTTGTCCGCAGCTTGTGCTTGACGGCTTCGTGCGTGACTCGAAAGTGAGTTAAGAGAGGGCTTGGAGGTGTGTCTGGAGGAGAGCAGAGGCTTCAGTATGGAAAAGGTGTGGCCTAACAGCAGTTTGTTTTGGTTTCATGATGGTGCTCAAGGACTACACCTACTGGATCAAAGAGTCGCACATCGAGTCAAGCTTTTCGATCAGATGGAGGAGTGGAGTACATGTGCTCACCTCTGGTGCGACTGTCCACCTCGTCTGATGTCGATGCAGTTAGGCGCCTCAGACCGAACCCTTCTCCCACGGGTCTCCTGGCTGCAGTCCGTCTCTCTGTTTTCTTATCAAACACCATCAGTGACGACAGAGACTCGGAGCCCAGCGAGTACTCAGCCAGAGTGTCCACGCTGCTGCCCGTCAGCCAGTTATACGTCGTGCTCCGACCTGAGAAAAACATGCAGAATCAAACTCTCTAACTGCACAGCTACAAGTTTTTCTCTGCAGACCTGTTTTAATATAACGATGTTGATTTAATGTCACACCTGCAGCTTGCGTCTGCGAGAACTCTAAAGTAGTCTGAGTCGCTCTGAGCTTCCCCTTCATGGATCCAGACTGAGATGCCGCCATGCTCTCTGGACCCTGAGAGTTTTGAGTTTCAACAAACATGGGCGTCATCACCGTGCTCCTGAAGCGCCAGTTAGAATCAATCACATAGTCCTGCAGGGAGGAAGGGACATTTTATCATGAAAGCATCATCAGAAACTCACTAATACAAATCTGACAGACTGGAGTTTGTCTGACCTGGAAGGTGCACTCTGACAGAGGGTACTCGAACATGTTCCTGCTGAAGTCTGGACTCTGACTCGTGGTCTCCAGCAGCAGATTGGTGGCCAAACTTAAGAAACATCTCTCTATGTGACAGGAGTACAGAGAGCCGAGCACAGACAACATCCGCTCCAGGGTCGCAGTGGGAAGACGTTTCTCCTGACTCCAGAAGTTACGGACATAAAGTCTAAAGACAAAACAGACGGAAGGAGTCACTCTCTCTCCTCACGCATTCAATCAGATACATCCATCCATTATCTACAGTTTGTCAACTTTTACTGTTCGGGGTCGCAGGGGACCGATCCCAGCTGTTATTGGGTGAGAGGCGGGGTTACACCCTGGACTGTTCACCAGCCAATCACAGAGCTGACAACCAGCAACACTCACATTCACACCTACAGACAATTTATAGTCTCCAGTTAACCTAACCAGCATGTCTTTGGACTGTGAGAGGAAGACGGAGTACCAGGAGAGAACCAACACATGAACGAGGAGAACATGCAGACTCCTCACAGAGAGACTCCTGAAGGACGGGGATTCAAACCAGGAACCTCCTCACAGAGACTCCTGAAGGACGAGGATTCAAACCAGGAACCTCCTCACAGAGAGACTCCTGAAGGACGGGGATTCAAACCAGGAACCTCCTCACAGAGAGACTCCTGAAGGACGGGGATTCAAACCAGGAACCTCCTCACAGAGAGACTCCTGAAGGACGGGGATTCAAACCAGGAACCTCCTCACAGAGAGACTCCTGAAGGACGAGGATTCAAACCAGGAACCTCCTCACAGAGAGACTCCTGAAGGACGGGGATTCAAACCAGGAACCTCCTCACAGAGAGACTCCTGAAGGACGGGGATTCAAACCAGGAACCTCCTCACAGAGAGACTCCTGAAGGACGGGGATTCAAACCAGGAACCTCCTCACAGAGAGACTCCTGAAGGACGGGGATTCAAACCAGGAACCTCCTCAAAGAGAGACTCCTGAAGGACGGGGATTCAAACCAGGAACCTCCTCGCTGTGAGGGGACAGAGCTAACCACTGCACCACAGTGCAGCCTCAAATACAATCAAATGAAAAGTAAGTACACGGTGCACTGTGTTTATTATACAATCATTGGACGGGGGTTCAGTGGCAGCAGATACTCATTAATAAATCAGGATTAGATATTTGGTACTCACTGAAGGGCCTGGTTCTCTTCAGAGAGTCCTCGAAGCAGACTTTCTTTAGCTGCATTCAAAACCTCCACTGAGATGTCGTCTTCCATGCTCTCTGCATCACTGGAACAATTCAAACAGACAACATTCATTTAAAGCTCCTGAAAGGAAAGTTCAGTTTGTGTTGATTATGGCGCCCCCCCTGTGGCCAGAGGGGTACCTCATATCTCTGTGCTGTACGTGTGTTAGTGGTTTTTCTGACAAAAATCTCATCTTCATGTTTTTTAACAGTCAAAAGTTTCACTCTCTGCAAATCATTGTGGACAAGGTGTAAAATAAGTTTCTGCAGAGCTCTGTAGAAATAATCAAAAGTCCTGTTTGCTTCTGTAGATCATAAGAAGGCATCAATATTAATGTCAGTGTTTCAAACTGCTCCTCACAGCTTTGAGTAACAATACAACTGTTTTAGAAGTCAGGTTGAATTTCAGCTTGATTGTGAGCCCTTAGTCGTGAACAGTGAGGCCCGACGGAGCGATCACATTCTGAGCAGCCGCTCCAGACCGGTCGGATGATTTTCTGTTTTCACCCTGTTTTTAGAGACAGCGTCCTAAGTCATCATGGTAACAGGAGGCAAACCTGTTTCATGTGTCTTCCCCCTCCCATCATGAAAGCTGGAGGTCTGCAGATATTTCCTGCAGACCTCCAGCTTTCATTATTAGCCGCTCGCTAGCTTGTGTTCATCGGTGATGCTGTGTGTGTGTGTGTGTGTGTGTGTGTGTGTGTGTGGGGGGGGGTTGCTGCTGTGTGTATTTGAGTCATGAGTATAAGACGACTGAAATCCTCCTCTGTCTGTTTTCTGTTGACAGTTGTGAACGCTCCATCCTGACTCTCGTACAGTGTGAGCTATCTGGTCGTGCGTCCTAAACAATTCAGTCAAACAGTGTTAGCTGACAATCCAACACGACTTTTTCTACAGTTGTACAGAGTACGCCAAGCTTTAACCTACTACACATGCTGAATGCACAGAAGTGACCACTAAAAGCAAAGTGACAGTTTTATGAATCTATTTGCAGCCTTGTCAGTCACTTTCTATGGAATCTATCTGACCCTGGTCTGTTGTTAAAAGTGTAGTGTTGGGTCAAATGAAAAGAAATGGTGGCCTTCTAGAGAAGGCTGAGAGTACCTGTAGTTGTCTTGTATCCACATGAGGATGTCGTACATCCTCTCTCTGCACACGGGGGAGGGGTGAGAGGTAAACGCCATGACGGCCGACAGAAGCTCCTGAAGCTGAACAGGCGTCAGCAGAGCGACGATCTTATGGATGATATCCAGACACACTCTCTGCCTCGCTTCATCCCTGCAGGGACACAACAAGAGTAATGAGCAGGATCATGTTTTCAAAATGTAAATCTGTAAATTCATTCAGATATGCAGCGTAACAGATTTTTTTATCTGGCTGTTCAGCGACAGGACTTTACTCTAACGTCTGGATTCTCATGAAGCAAACTAATCCTGGAGACAGACGTCAAACATGCAGATCAGTGAGGAGATCATCATCAGGACTGACCTGTGGCTCATCATCTGACTGAAGCCGGAGGTCTTCAGCTGCAGAAAGATGTCAGGGATGACTTCTGCTCGGCTCAGCACGCACTCCAAACAGAGAGTCTTTAAGAGGCCGTGAAGCTTCGGCAGCAGGTAGAACACATGGTTCACAAAGCTGGAGAACACAAATGAAGCTGCGGTTATAACCAGGTTAGGGTTTTTTATAAAACTAGTATCATGGCAGGAAGCGTCAGACTTCACACAAACTGACCGATCCATAAAGGGAGGAAAGTGTTTGGAAACTTTGTTCAAACAAACGATGAACTTGTCGTCCATATCTTTCTTCTTCAGGTTCGTTATTTTACTCGCAGCAAGATTCAGAAGTTCCTGATGAAGCTGAGAAAGAATCAAACAAGAAACTAAATCAACCGTCATGACAGAAAAGAAAGATGAAATGGTGAAGTAAAGATGCTGTCACAGATCTATAATCTGTTCTACTAAGGTGTCTTCAGTTCTCTGCAGAATTAAAATAAATAAAATGTAACTTAGTAGAAGTGGTGAAAGAGTCATTACGTCGTCCATTTCAGTCATGTTCTTCAGGATGAGGCCGATGATCTCGGCAGCGGCTGCGTAGACTTCTCTGTATCTCACAAAGGACACGTTGTTGGTGAGACACTGGATGTACCTGCAGGACACAAAGACAGGATGTGAAGTCATAACAAAGGCCGTTTCTGAGTGATGACACTTCTGAGCGGAGGTGATCGAGTAGTAGTATTTATTCTGCAGAAAGTCAGAGTGATCTGATGTGAGAACACAGCAGGATATAATCAGGAGAATTCACCTGGAGCCAGTGGGAGGGGGTGGTGACCTTTATTCCCTGTGATCACTGCACGACCATAGACTGTCTGCACACCACCTCTACGACCTCCGAGCACGTAATTAAAGGGGAGGTAGAGCAACTGCCCGGTCCAGTGGGGATGAGTGCTAGTCCAGATCAGGACACCACACCCTCTTTCTAAGATCTCTCTTTGAATAGTTGTGTAAAGTCACCAGGGGTCATGTGGTGGGTTAGGTCGTATCAGCGCTGTCACCAGGAGCTTGCATGTACGGCGCCTGCAGCCTGGGCCCATTGAAGGTGGCGATGCTGTTTGGGCTGTGAAGGCCATGCATAAGGTTAAGATATAAAGGCACTGCATGAGGGCGTGCATGTTGGGGAAGTGACTCTGGAACTCACTGTCCGGCCTTTGTGAGGTGTCGGGGGACTAATTGGAACAAAACTACGTTGAAGGGAGGTTCCTACTTCATAACCCTGGTGGTGTCCTCACTCTGCTCTCAATCAGCCTACACAGATAAGTTGTGGGAGCCAGAAGCTCCATGTGGAGGGTGGGTAGTATCTGCATCGCCATACCTGGACCTCGCAACAACAATATCAGTTTCAAAATACCTGTAATATTCTACACCACACACACACACATTCTATGTCTCTCACATGTCGTATTGGATTCCACAGGAGGCGTCATAAGCAGGGAGGTTGTTGGCGAGGATGATTCCCAGCAGCTGGAGTCCTACAGAGTTATCTTTACTGTTCGGGTCGGTGCCGCAGAATCTATCATAGATCAAACTAGAAGGAATGAAAGAGAAACTTTAATGCACATGAACTGGTCACTTTCAGTGAGCTGCAGGCTTTTTGTGAAACGCGCGTGCATGGACACTTGAGTGGGTGTGATGGAGCAACCTGTAAGGTACATGCAGACAGTCTTTCCAGCACTCCACCAGTGTGCGGATGACCTCCAGGTTGTGTCTGAAGACGGCTCTCTTAGAGTGAAAGCTGTGCTTCATCAGGAACTCCAGCAGACGATTAGCCAGCACCTCGTCTCTGGGGTTTCCCTGAGTGAAAAGAATGATGATTAATGGGGCTCTGGCGAGAAGAGACGAGAAGGACACTGATCAAGGCTGAATTATTAGCCACCTTGGGGCTGGCGATGCTCGTCCAGGAGAGCACTATGACCACGACTTCCACCACCATGAAGTGAATCCCCTCTCCTCCGTTGTTTCCAGACACAACAAGCTGCAGCAGCGGCCCGAGCCAATGTTTGGCGTATGGTCGAAACACCTGGACGATCAGCGATAAAGATCCATGCGCACAGAGGGAACACGAGAAGCAGAGAAGGGAGGGATAAAGGGTTAAAGACTGCGGAGGAGAGGAGGAGAGGAGGAGAGACAGTGAATAAATACATCGTGTGGAGGAACATGTACCTCCTCTGTGTTGATGATGAGCTTTGAGATGAACAGTCTGATATTCAGAGGTGTGGACGGATTTGAGAGCTTTGTGTGGAGAAACTTCATCCACGGAGGAAGATCACTGGGCGTGCTTCCCTGCTTCAGAATCAGAATCAGATTTATTGGCCGGGTATGCTTACACACACAAGGAATTTAACTTTGGTGAACTGTGCTCTCTTATGTACAGGTACAACATTAAATATCAACAATAAACACAATAAGAAAAGACTAATATTTACATGACTAAATATGAAACAGTGCAGTGGTGAATAGTGCAAAAGATGCTGAAGTAACATGATAAGTAAAATGTAGTTATATGACAGATGAGTCAATTAAGATGTCAATTACAGTATTTACATAAATAAGTGTGTGTATATTATCATTTAAATTAATAATTAATAATTAATTAATTAATAATATATATATATACAAACATATTTGTTTGAGGAGAGAGCGTGTTAGACAGAAAAGATAACACCCTCTCTTTCACTCTTTTAGAGGCACTGACCTGTTCCACTTTCGGGGTGATGTTGTTCCTCTGCATGTGTCCAATCAGAGCAGCCATCGACACCATGCACTCATGCTGATTCAGCTCGTCCATCTCTAGATCCACTGATGCATGCTGGGACAGATTTGTCTCCTCTGTCTCCTAAACGAACAACAAAAAGTCTCATCAGCATCGAAACCAGATGAAGTTTGAAGACATTTTGAAGCTTTGCAGGAGTTGTCCTCTTGGTAGGATGGTGAACCCTCTGAAACTATTTTTAAGACACTCAGCATGTTAATAATGAAAAAAATCACACGGCATGCTCTTTTCACTGACTCTCTGGGCCACGCTGCGTCTGTGTCCATCAGGGTTTTGCGAGCTGAAGGAGAAGCTCTGGACTCCGGTGGAGAAGTCAAACTGACTCATCTCCTCGCTCAGGCTGCTGTCGGCCATGTACGACTGAGAGGACAGATACACCGGAGCGTCTGTGGAAAACACAACAGGACAAATGTGAACGTTGATGATCAAACTGGAGATACAGCTCCCTAATAATCTACACTCACATCCTCTCCTTCTAGTGGGGGAGAAACTCAGCCTGCAGTCAAACTCTGTTGTTAACCCAAGAAGTCAAGCAAGAGGACTCTTACGTCTCTTACTCCCAAAAACCCGCAACCTATGACTGATGATATTTGCAAGCGACTTTGGGCTTGTTTTTCTGTAAAGTCGCTTGCAAATATCGTCTTAGAACAAGCAGACCTGGCAACACTGCCAAGGAGGTGTAGCTTGCTTGAGCAGAGTACGGAGGGCTCAACCTGGTCAAACAAACTGGACTCTGGGGGTCAAAAGGTGCTTCGGTACGGTACAGATTGCCGAGTGTCAGTGCAGCTAAGACTCTAAACAAAAAAAAAAGGTTTAAAAATAGCTGAATAACCCTTTAATGTTATGAGCAGACCTTTTTCATTTCAGAGTAAGACTTATTCCTTTACAATAAAAGATTCAGATTGTAGACGGAGTGTACAGAGAAATAATGTTTCAGCTGCTGAATACCTCCGTTCTCCTCGTTCACTTCCCTTCGAATCATCACATACTTCTTCTTTCTCTCGAGTGGGACCTACATGGAGTGAAAACACACATCATGAGCACGCCTCTGACAGTAAACAGTCCAACAAACCGGCATGTTAACACAAACACAGACCTCGATCTCAATGGGGAAGTTGTAGATCCTCCCAACGTCGATGATGTTTTCCAGAATGAACTGATTCTGTAGAGGAAGAGGAAACCATGAAGTGGACACATTCAGATGTTCCCGTGTTGGATAGTATCGTAGGTGGCTGGCAGTACCTTCTCGGGTTTCTCGCTGAAGAGGAAGCCGTGGTAGAATTTGGGCTCGCTGAAGCTGCAGCTGATGACGGCGATGGCACAGTTATAGGCAGCGCAGTGAAAGTGTCTCCTCAGCTCGAGCAGCTGAGTCTCACCCGCCATGTTCTCAGTGAACACCTCAAAACATGACCTGAAGAAACAAAGCCATCCATTATTCATAGAACACTACTGTGACAAGGTTTCACATCGCTGTCATGTCATCTCTCAGAGTCCTACTTGATCAACATCTTGGACAGCTCGTTGCCCTCCGTCTTCTCCGAGCGGCAGTGCGCCTGGTTGATACGAGATTCCTTTGAGTAAACTTCTTCTTTAGGAAGTCGAGAATAAAGCAGCTCCATCAGCTTGAAGCAGCCGGTCTTCTTCAGCAATTGAGTCTCAAACTCTGAAACATTTGACTGGAAGGAAATAAAAAGTGAGAAGTGTTTCCCTCCTCTCAAACACATCGTGCTGACTTTAAGCTGCAAGGTTACTGACAAACATTTGATCATAAAAATTAACAAATAAAGCCAGTACAAAATGTTTTTGTACAACTTTAAAAGGTTTGGCGATGAAATGATCTCGATACGAGGTCACGATTAAATTTGTCCATAACATTTTATCTCTTAAGCTGACTGAAGTGTGGTGCTTTTATTTTGAAGGAGGTCAAACTGAAGTGTGGTGTTTTGTATTGGCAAGCTGTTGACTCAGATCTCAACACTCAGGCCAGATTTACTAAAGGTTTGCGTGTCTTAAAACGTGTGCAAACTTGATACCACCAGCAAAAAAAGTGCTATCTGATCTACTAACGGCGTGCAGTGAGGATTGCGTCTGTCAAATGAGCAAAACAACGCGCATTGACCATTTAGTACGTTTGACTTAATGAATATTCAATCTGGGGCGTTTCTGCCCTAACGTGCAAAACACTGGGAGGAGAAAATGCAAACAAGTTAAGTTAGTACACACATTGTGATTTACCAAACCTGACAAAAACTGTGGTGATTGTGACGGTGTCTGTATTTAACACCTTTGAAAAGAACATGCTAACTCAGGAGACCAGTGTCACACACAACAGGCTGCTGTTATTGTAGTTAGGAGGAGACATAGGCACAACAAAAGAAGGCATACAGATCACGTTTTTCCCCACAAGTGTTTACATGTTTCAAATGACAGAAAAATAAATGGCATGCATTTCTTTTTTTAATTTGATTGAATATTCTAATCGTTAAGGAAGAGAAACACCATGATTAAACTACAGGCTATTGTTGCCATATATCCAAAGAAAACTGAACATTCACAGCCTCTGCATTGTATAGAATTTCAACATTGATATTTATGTCGTCCTATTTCCCTCTTTTCACCAACATTATATTTTAAACTGGGATTTCCTTTTTCTCTGGTTGCTCGTCTCTGCCCCAGCTTGCCCCCTCCGGTGCACTCCTCTCCATAATGCACTCGTCTCCTCCCTCTAAAGCTTCTGCTACTCTGTAGGACGCTTGGATTGGGGCACCTCACCACTGTTTGTACCCCTGTCTTCGATACCTTTTTCCAGGACATTTATATCTGACCCCACACAGCGCTGGCCAGCTGTCTGGTGCGCAACAACGGCCAGAGTGTAGAGCGCAGAGAACACAGTGTACACCTCCTGCGCAATGTATGACACTTCATTCTTAAGATTAAGAGAAGAAAAGAGAGGCCCTGTTTAATATTTTCTTACAACCAAAATTTCTTTGTAATATTCAGATTTATCTCCTATAACTAGAAAGTATTGTGCGTTTATTTGCCTCTCCCACTAATACCTATTTTACGCTTGCAGTCATCCTGCTTTCTGTCCAAACTATCCGTGATGTAAACCAGTAGAACACGCAAAAACCTAACTGAAATATTACCGCCTCCACAAGGTTTGCACCTGGTGTCATTCACGCAAATTTTCTTAGTAGATCACCTGCAAAACGCCCACCAACCAAACGTGCAAACTTTTGGAGTGAACACACAATTTAGTACTCTTTAATTGGGAGCTTAGTAAATCTGGCCCACAGAGACTCGTCAATAAACGTCTTGCGGCGAGCTGAATAAAGTTTTTCTCTGTTGTTGAAACAGGTCAAAGGTCAACATTTCAATCATAATGTGGATATTATTAATGCTCTGTTATCTCCACTTTATAAAACAAGCTAACACGCTCTGCTGAGGGAGGGGAGAGAGGGTCAGTGCTGTGTAGCGCCCGTCATGGACGCAGCAGGGTTAAACTGTGTGTGTGTGTGTGTGTGTGTGTGTGTGTGTGTGTGTGTGTGTGTGTGTGTGTGTGTGTGTGTGTGTGTGTGTGTGTGTGTGTGTGTGTGTGTGTGTGTGTGTGTGTGTGTGTCAGCAGATCATTCTATATACGCCGACAGTGTGTGTCTTCATGTCTTTATTCCTGTATCTGTATAAATACTTCATAACACACCTTAGTGAAGCGGCTGAGCAGTAGAGCCGTTATGTCGGAGACGTTTGCCACAAAGAAGTCGTTGAGGGCTTTGCTGCTGCAGTGAGAGGACAGAGGCAGCAGGACTCTCTCCATCATGGCCTGAAGCATGGAGCTCATGGGCACGTCACCCTGATTGATCACCTGATACATGGCACACAGCAGCTGCAGCTGACGCTCAACACTCGACCTGCTCGCACATCCACAGAGAGACGGAGGAACAGTAGACGCTTGTGTGAAATCTAAAACAACAATTAAAGAATCTGTTACATCATGTAAGCATTACTGTGAAGGCTGCACTCACCGCTTAGCAATCCTCTGGAAGCAGGTTTGGAAGCTCTCCTCCATGATGTGCTTTTTGTCTCGACACAGAATCAGTGCCATCAGTTTGAGCAGCAGAGGACTCTGAGAGAGCTCCAGGGCGTCCAGCAGCTGCAGACAAAAAGAATCAAAGCTCAGTCCAATGTTAAACCTCTCAGGAGTCATCACATTTCACTTACAGTACTACATGCAACAGACAGCACAACACCGTCTAGATGCACAGCAAAACAAACCGTCTGCAGAGATGGCAGGAGCTCAAAGTTTGAGGCTTTCACGCTCAGCCCGCCCGTGTTTGCTCCTCGTTGGGAAGCAACATCACACAATCTCAGACCTATTTAAACCTGATTTTTTAAATGTGCACGACTGATAGTACATATTTTCATGGATTCATTCATCTTGATAATTTTGTGGATATATCTTTACATTGTGTCAACCATCTCAGAGTAATTCTTCTTTTAGGTTTGTGAAGCTGTAATTCATATGTGTTAGAGACCTCACAGCAGCAGAGTTATATTTGGATTGAAGTGTCTGTTGTGAGCTGAAAAAGAAATGTGACTCTGAGACTGAAGAAATGTATATGTCTGATATTTAAGAGTCAGTGTGATGTCTTCTTTCTAGTCTTTTAGAGATGAACCGAAGCAGCCAGGAATGTGTGGGCTGTACCTTCTAGTAGAATATAAGCAACACTGTGAAGATGAAGATTTTGCCACTTTGTCCATGATGGTCAATGATTGCCAGCGATTGTGAGATCTTGGTCAGCATGGGTCAGCGATGGTCTGCACTTTGTCAGCCATGTGTGTTGTGTTTCTGTGTTTTCTGACCATGGCTGAATAAATCTAAGATGATCCACAGTCTGTTTCACGATTTCATCATTGTTCATTTAAAGGTCCCATTTTTCTGGTTTTATATGCTCTTTAGTGTGTTTTCCAAGTGTCCTGTGCATGTTTAGGCACATCTATGTGCAAAAATTCAAAGTCCGCGGAAACGCAGCTTGTCCTACGTCCTCCTGTTAGCTGTAGCATTAGCTGCATGTAACGCTCGGTTCTAGCCCCCCTCGATAAAAATTTGTCAGTGCGGCATCATTGTCAGTGTGAGATCGCTGATCTAAGCCCATTGGCTCGTTGTGGCAAGCCCAGCAGCTCATGTTGAAATTTCCGAGAAGCGTGCTGAGCAACTGACCAATAACGACAGAGCTGATCGGCAGACCAATCAGAGCAGACTTGGCCCACGTGGGGTCTAACAGTGGGGGCTCAGCAGAGTGTAGCTGACAGACTCAGAGCGGAGAGGGAGCAAGGAGGAGCAGTACATGAAAACAGACGCTTTTTTATAACTTTAGCTATTGTGAACGTACAAAAGTAAGTACATAGATTAAATATACAAACCCCAAAAAGGGCAGAATATGGGCTCTTTAATACAGAAACAACCCCCACCTAACAATGACTAAAGACGGGACGACTCTCAGCAAGATTGTGCATATGAGACGTCTGAAACACACACAGATCTGACCTCTCCTCACTTGACATACTCAGTCTGGAGATGAACTGCACACTATTTCAGCTTCTAGTTTCTGTCTTCACCTGTGTTGCAGAAACATCTGCAGGAGGACGCCTCAAACGGAGAAAACGTTCCACACAAGATATGAGAGCAGCGGACATTAGAGACAAACATCTTACAGCTGATGGCTCGCCATCTGTTGTGTGAATCCTTGTAAATAAATCCTCACTCTCGCCCTGTTCAGTGTCATGTTCAGTCCAGCTCCAGTCAATTAGTTAACGTAGTTATCATGTTTAATATATGTGAAGGGGTGGCTTGACTCCCAGGTTCAAACTATAAGTTAAACATTAGACACTTCACCACATCAGAGAGAGAGACAGGTGAGGCGGCTCTTTACCTTTCTGACACAGTCCATGTAGTTGTTGCGGTGCAGCGAGCCTTTAGCGAACTCGTCAGACGTCATGGGGAAGTGCGAGGCCACCAGAGCGTCCAGAGATCTCTGCAGCTCAGAGAGCGGCTCGTCAGGTAGGGAGGTGAGGAACGGCAACACCAGCAGGGCCTGACTCTGAGGAGGTCAGAGAATACACCATCTTTTTTAAAATCTGTGACGTATGATGTGACGTCGTCATGGTGAATGAACAAACAGGCTCTCTGTTACCTTTAGATTCAGCGGCAGATTCATGTCAACCAGGAGCAGAGTGAAAGTGGAAAACACGGGTCTGAACGCCTCGTGGTTGATATCAGAGCAGACAGACGAGTCGATCTGACAGGAGAGGGAGAACGTGCTCATTACGTTCATTTATGTTCAAAGGAAATTACTAATCACAAATCATTTATTCAGGGATGCACCAGATGCAGATTTTTGGAAAAAACACAGTTTAGACTTCAATAAACATCTTTATCAGACGACATGAGTCCCATAATAACCCGCTGTCCTTTATGAAATGATGAAACAGGTGGTTGTACCAGTGGATGTGCAGAAGCCTGATTTTACCTGCAAGAGTTTGGAGAGCAGCAGAAGCGTGGCGGTTTTGCTCTCTGCGGTTGCAGACGGCCCCTCCCACCACGACTGCAGACTGTTCCATCTCTTCAGCACCTCGTCCACCAGCTGCTTCCCCTGAGTCTTCCTCACAGAGCGCTCTCTGAAGCTGTGGTCCAGCATGCCGTTCAGCAACACACTCACCTGGAGACAAATACAAACCGGGGGGACAGCTCAGGCACAGCAGACAGATAATGCTGAAAGTATCACTATCACTCGTCAGGCTTTTCAATATTTACATTTCTGCTAATATTTATGAATTAATATCGGTGCTCAGAACTATCAATGGTTACTGCAGAAATGATTAAATGCTGCTAAACTACAACCTAATAATTGCAGCATCGCTTCCACCACTTCACGTTGCACAATGTGTTTTTGAAGTAGAATGAATCTCTTGCAAACAGCAAACATTTTGAAAACCAGAGGAGTGCGAGCTGTAGTACCATGGTCTGGTTTAGAGAGGAAGCCCTCATGAGGTGTGGGACGGTGGTGCTTAGACGTCTCAGCAGCTCGGTGTTGATGGTCGTCTGGAAGAGGCTGTAGAAGTACTCGCCGTGTGAGAAGCTCAGGAAGTTATGACTGTGACTTCCAGATATGGGCACAGAGAGCATGATGGTGTTCAGCAACAAATCCACCAGCTGCTCACTCTGCACAAACACAGAGAACAGATAACAGACAACAGGAGGCGTTTTAAAATCAATCGTCTTTCATCTCTATTCCAGTTCAAAGAGAGTCACTGACCTGTTCACTCAGAGAGAAGGAGAGCTGCAGCAGGCCGTCAGCCAGCCTTTTAGTGTTGATGTCCAAAGATGGAAGAGCCTTCCTGTCCTCACCCGGAGCGATTCCTTTATACACGGTCATCAGGAGTCTGGAGCCCAGGGATCTGGCATAAACGGCATCCTTTGAATTGACAAGATACACAAACAAATCATAAATAGACTTCAGCTTGTTATTTCTTTTCGAGTCTTCTGACTACTCAAAGCTCTTTTACATCGCAGGTCACACCTACACATTCACACCCTGATGGTAGAGGCCGCTGAGTAAAGAGTCCATCAGTATTAACTCATCCATTCACACACTGATGGTAGAGGCTGCTGATTAAAGAGTCCATCAGTATTAACTCATCCATTCATACACATTCACACACAGCTGCTTCTTAAGATTTATTTTTGGGCTTTGTATGCCTCTACATTTCAGAGATAGGCCAGTATGGTGTCAGAAACAGGAGAGAGAGAGAGAGGGGGAAATGAAGGGAACATGCAGGAAAAGAGACACGTCGGACTCGAACCAGGGCCGTCCGCTCTCGAGGACTTAAGCCTCTGTACATGGGGCGCGCGCACTTACCGCTAGGTTGGCGGCGCCCCCAGATGCATGACCTAAGTCCATGTTGAAATATGCATATATGGACAAACACAAGCAACAAATGTTCCTGTTTAGATTAATCAGCCACAATATTCACCATTAACTAGTTGATTATTAGCATGCTAATTAGTAGCATACTGGCTGCTTATTAGTCCTCCTGATTACTGCTTATTGATAGTTAGTTAAGAAGTTGTTGAACAAGAATTCTGATCTTAATACGCTTGGCTTACTTCTACCTGATAAGGGCCGTCTCATGTCTCAGGTCACATACCTGACTGTGCAGGATGGAGACGAGGAAGCCGGCTTTGTGGATCTGTTTGCATGAGGACAGAACCATCTCCATGTGGTCCTGATGGCTCACAGAGCTGCACTGATAGAGATCCACGGCACACAGCTCCTCCACGCTGCAGAGAGAAACGATGCAGAATCAAAAACAAGTTTCTTCAACAGGAGAGCCTTGGGAGTGAAAGAAGTCAGTCGTAGCGTGCAGCTGCTGACCGGTGATAAACGAACCTTTTACGGGAGATCTTTGTCCGCAAACTGCTTTCAATACGAGAGCAGTAAGGTGAGGCCAGCAGGGTCGTCAGTAAAGGAACACACACTTCTGGAAGCTTCTTCATCACCTCCACGTCAGCCATGTTGAAGCCAACGGAGGACGGCTCACACACCACCAGCGCCGTCAGCTCGTAAAAGGCTGGCACAAAGACGTCTTCTTCTAGGAGCTGTGGACACAGGAAACAGCACGGTGACAACAAAAAGTTAAGACTTTGATAAAGCTGGAGGGTCTGAAACTTTGTGCTACCTTCCAAAAGTCCTGGTCTGCTTTGACGAGGATCATGGCGGTGAACTCCAGCAAGCGCACGATGATGGTGCACTTGCTGAAGTTGTACTGGTCCACCTCTCTGGGGCTGAAGTGAGACGTCTTCTCTCCGACTGGGAAACAGCTCTCTGCTGCTGATAGGTCCCGAGTTGACAGCTCGCTCAAAAAGAAACTCACAGCTTTCAGAAAACTCGACTTCTCTTTCAAGTCTTTAAGAAAAGGTGAGAAAAAAATAATCAGAGTTTATAACGATCAGAACACAGCCAAGAGGACGTCAAGACAGATCTCATGTTAGGAAGTAGAGAGGGAGTAGAGATTTAGATATCAGGGGGACAGAGAGAGAGAGAGAGAGAGAGAAAAATTAAACATAATAAACAAATCCACCCTCCGTGTCCAACGGAAAACCCCAAATAATGCATGCAGAGCAGAATTAGGTCGATACCCTCTAAACATCAAAATTCAAAAGAGAGCTTTTAAATTTTATAACCATTTAAAAGATAGTGACCCTGACACGCTCCATTACAAAGCCCTGACCTCCAGAGAGTCTTCAGAGAGCTGCCCCCTCAGACACCTGGTTCTGGGACTGTACTCCCAAGCAGAGCCCTCAGACAGAAACCCAATCAAAATCAACCAAATTATTAAAAAACAAAACTATTTAACACATTGGACACAATCAACCAAAAAACAAAGATGTTATCTGACCCTAAATAGAAATGACACAGTGGCAGAATATCTGAGCACTGTGACTGTGACTGATCCAAAGCTGAGGAAATCTTTGACCATGTACAGACTCAGTGAACGTGGCCTCGCCATCGAGAGAGGACGCCACTGACAGACCTGGCTCCCCAAAGAGGACAGACCCACTGCACCCAGCATGAGGTGGAGACAGAGCTCTGTCCTCTGTATCAGGACATCAGAGACATCACAAACACACACAAAGGATTTCACTTATTGGACAACGAGCACAAACTGGTGTACCTGCTGGGTGAGGTACAACAATGTGCAAACACTGCAGCACGTTATGTGAACTGCTGCGACCAGAAGAGAGCATCCAACAGCTCCAAACCCCCGTGAACAAAACATCCCGGCACTAATTCCATCTGTAAATAACTGTACATACACACCACAGAGCTGTACATACACACACCACAGAGCTATACACACACACCACAGAGCTGTACACACACACAACACAGAGCTGTACACACACACACCACAGAGCTGTACATACACACAACAGAGCTGTACATACACACACACCACAGAGCTGTACATACACACCACAGAGCTGTACATACACACAACAGAGCTGTACATACACACACACCACAGAGCTGTACATACACACCACAGAGCTGTACATACACACAACAGAGCTGTACATACACACAACAGAGCTGTACATACACACACACCACAGAGCTGTACATACACACAACAGAGCTGTACATACACACAACAGAGCTGTACATACACACACACCACAGAGCTGTACATACACACCACAGAGCTGTACATATACACACACCACAGAGCTGTACATACACACACACCACAGAGCTGTACATACACACACACAACAGAGCTGTACATACACACACACCACAGAGCTGTACATACACACACACCACAGAGCTGTACATACACACACACCACAGAGCTGTACATACACACAACAGAGCTGTACATACACACACACCACAGAGCTGTACATATACACAAACCACAGAGCTGTACATACACACACACCACAGAGCTGTACATACACACAACAGAGCTGTACATACACACACACCACAGAGCTGTACATACACACACACCACAGAGCTGTACACATACACAACACAGAGCTGTACATATACACACCACAGAGCTGTACATATACACACCACAGAGCTGTACATACACACACCACAGAGCTGTACATACACACACCACAGAGCTGTACGTATACACACCACAGAGCTGTACACATACACAACACAGAGCTGTACATATACACACCACAGAGCTGTACATACACACCACAGAGCTGTACACACACACACACACACCACAGAGCTGTACATACACACCACAGAGCTGTACACACACACACACACACCACAGAGCTGTACATATACACACACCACAGAGCTGTACATACACACCACAGAGCTGTACACACACACACACACACACACACACTCACACCACAGAGCTGTACAAATACATACCACAGAGCTGTACACACACACACACACACACCACAGAGCTGTACATATACACACACCACAGAGCTGTACATATACAACACAGAGCTGTACATATACACACCACAGAGCTGTACATATACACACCACAGAGCTGTACGTATACACACCACAGAGCTGTACATATACACACCACAGAGCTGTACATATACACACCACAGAGCTGTACATATACACACCACAGAGCTGTACATATACACAACACAGAGCTGTACATATACACAACACAGAGCTGTACATATACACACCACAGAGCTGTACACACACACACACACACACACACACACAGAGCTGTACACACACACAACACAGAACTGTACACACACACACACACCACAGAGCTGTACACACACACACAACACAGAGCTGTACATACACACAACACAGAGCTGTACATACACACAACACAGAACTGTACACACACACACACACCACAGAGCTGTACACACACACACACACACAACACAGAGCTGTACATACACACAACACCGAGCTGTACATACACTCACCACAGAGCTGTACACACACACCACAGAGCTGTACATATACACACAACACCGAGCTGTACATACACTCACCACAGAGCTGTACACACACACCACAGAGCTGTACATATACACACCACAGAGCTGTACATACACACACCACAGAGCTGTACACACACACCACAGAGCTGTACACACACACCACAGAGCTGTACATACACTCACCACAGAGCTGTACATATACACACCACAGAGCTGTACACACACACCACAGAGCTGTACACACACACCACAGAGCTGTACATACACACACCACAGAGCTGTACATACACACACCACAGAGCTGTACATATACACACCACAGAGCTGTACATACACACACCACAGAGCTGTACATATACACACCACAGAGCTGTACATATACACACCACAGAGCTGTACACCTTTAGTCTTTAAAAGAGAATCTCTTTAAATCTTAATATCCTTATTTTATATTTCTGTAAGTCATCTATAGTCATTTGTGAATATTTTTAAAAAAGCTAAATGAAATTATTATTATTAATTTTTTTCCTTTCTTTTTATATTTAAAAAAGGACAGGAGTTTTAAACCCCGCCTCAGCTCCAGCTCTCAGCCTGTTGTTAGGTTGACTGAAAGTTAGACTGAGACAGCATTTCTAGCCAGTTACAGTCTGTGGTTTTACATTTTTGTCAGTTGAGTCTGGTGTCTCTAAAGAGAGTGATGTAACAGCTGTCCTCTGACCTTAATGATTATGTCGCAGCCTCTAAAATCTGTCTTTAATCAGAGTCTGGGAGTAATTCACCAGCGTAAGAGACTTACTGAGCATGTGCTGAGGTTTCAGTATGTGCAAACTGATGAAGGTGTTGTAGCAGTCCAGAGCAGCCAGCAGCAGGTCCATCCACTGCAGGGCGGCTCTGACGCTGAAAGGACCGCTCAGGTCTCTGAGGGTGGGCTGGGAGAGGAGACCCCCGCCCTCAAACCGTGAGATCAGGAAACCGACGCCCTCTTCCTTCAGCATGCCGTCAAACCACTGAGGAGGAGACTTCTTACCTGAGGTCAGACACATGTGAAAGACAAATGCTCACTTTTTAAACCGTGTCTTATTTCTGTTCAGGAATCGTTATATGCTAGTGCACCTGATGGGACGGCTCACCTGGGAGGAGAGGTATGAACTCATAGAAGAGCGCCATACACCTGTGTCTGCACTCTGTCTGAGGTCGGCCACATTGTTCCAGGAGCCACGAAACCACATCGGAAAGACTCAGCCTCTCGTCAGGGGGAAAGCCCCTGAAAGAAGAAAAAAAACATGGTAACCCATCTATCCATCCATTTTCTTTACTGCTTTTCCTGTTCAGGGTCGCAGCGGCTGGAGCCTATCCCAGCTGTCAGCAGTAAACCTAACGAGCATGTCTTTGGACTATGGGAGGAAGGCGGAGAGAACCCATACATGCATGAGGAGAACATGCAGACTGTCAGACGGGGATTCAAACCAGGAACCTCCTCGCGACAGCGCTGACCCCTTCCCCAACACACACACACACACACACACACGCACGCACGCACGCACGCACGCACGCACGCACGCACGCACGCACACACACACACACACACACACACACACACACACACACACACACACACACACACACACACACACACACACAGCACGCAGCACTGACCTGGGGACGCGTCTCTTTGTACTCTGCTCGTTCAGACTCGCAGCTTTCTGTTTGATGATTCTCTTCAGGTGATCGATGGCGCTGCCACACTGCTGCAGCGTACCTGAGGATGGAAACAACGACGTCAAACCTTCAGAATATTAGAGATTCAAACTCAACTTGCTCTTGGATGTGCACTATGACGCCATTAGACGAAAGTTAGCAAAGAAACATGAAAAAGAAATGTAATATTGATATCTTGACTTTGTGGGAAAAGCTGCATTTGAATCAAATAATTATTAAACTGCAGAATCTGACATATTTAGAAAAGGATAAAAACCTCTTCTTTTTGCCAACAGTTTTAGCATATATTATCATCTCTGCTCTCCAGATGTTAAGACATGTTTGTTTGGGAGAGACTTAAACAAAAGATGATTCATTCAGATTTTTAAATGTGTTTGTCACTTGAAATAAAACCCTGTAATAAAAAAAAAAAAAGATCCTTTCAACCAAATGTGATGCTAAGCAACCTACGTGAGAGAGAGAGGAGGGGGAGACGGCTCTACATAATGTTTTGAATGTTCAGAATCTTGCAGCATCTTAGATTGGATTAGATGTTTATTGTAATCACATTTATGAAGTCTGAAATCACAATTAGAAGAATATTTACCCATAGATCTCTCGTCTGAGTGAGCCAGAGACAAACTCTCGATGAAAACGACGAGAACCTCGAAAACAAACTGCTCCACCAACGCGCTCTCCTCTCTGCAGAGACAGAACGACAACACTGAGCAGATGTAACCAAAAACATCGAAGAAGTCACCACAATTACAATAATAACTTTATTTAAAAACACAGGTTTACAAAGTGCTTTGACAAACAGCAAAAACAAGAACAAACTAAACCAAACACAGAAGAACATAAACAACAGCAAGAACATAACAAATGCAAAATACTCAAAATAATTAAATACAGTTCAACAGAAAAGAACCCAAAGTGCACAATACCCAACAGACATATATAACCTGACCATCACAAGAACCATCATAAGAACCCAGGCAACACAAGAACCCAACAACACGAGCTGAGACCAAGAGGAGCAAAGATTTAAAAAGATGTAAGAAACTAAAAGACCTAAAAGCAAAATAAAAGATAACAGCAATAAAAAGGTAAGAGCAGTAAAATAAATAGAAACAAGTGGTTAAAGGACCAAAAAAAAACAATAATATTAAAAGTTAAAACGTAAAAGGAGTTAAGATAAGAGCATAAATACGAGACAACAAAGAGAGGAAAGTGAAGAGTCCACACAGAGAGACGAGCTGCGTACCTGAACAGTCTGTAGATACTGTTGAAGGCTAACGCCGCGCCGAGTCTTTTGAAGCCGTTAGGGTGAAGCGCCAAGCTGTAGATCCGTTTAAACAAAGACTTCATGTTTGTCGGGCTCTTCTCCTGCTGCTTCGGGGTTGTTTGTTTGATCGACCATTTGACAAACTCCTCGATGCAGCGGCCACAGAAGTCTCTGAGAGTGCTGTCCATGGGGTCGACCACGCCGTCCTGAGAGAGGAGGGGGTTCAGGTGTCAGATGAGGAAGCAGAGGGGTCACCTGCAGAGTCCCTCATAGAGGAGAAACACTCACCATGATGGCCTCCAGGACAGCCACTGTATCCTGACTCTCAAACTTCTTGTTGTTTGTGAACCAGTGGATCAGCTGCATGACCAGCGGCTCAAAGAGCTGACGGGTCACCTGGTGAAGAATTCATTAAAGTAGACATCATGAAGTCTGAGAGAAATATTTGGCTGTTTGTGTTCACACATGGAGCTCCTGAAACATCAGTTTTTCAGGAGTTTTCTGCAGGTGTGAAAGCCCTACTAGAGAATCTGTTAAACTTCCTAATGAATGGATGAAGATTTGATTCCTGTGTCTGGTCATTTATCTGATCCGTCATCGTGGAATTATCTAGTAAAGTTCAAAAGAATCGCGTTAAACAGCCCAGTAGAAGAACATCATCGAGTAAACATGAACCCCCCCCCCGAATAATCTGTTTCCTGTTAATGTCTCTCCCTCTCTTGAATCATGTCTGGTGTCACGTCGTACCTGATCCACATCACAGGCCAGACGCAGCAGGACAGGAAACAGCCTCTTGTGCAGTTTGTACATCGGAGGTAAAGTATTCGTCCCTTCGACCATCTGAGCACTTTTTCCAACCATGTAGACCACCAGACTGTGCAGCAGCTCACAGGCGGCGACCTGCAGCAAGACACAGGACAGACCGGGTTTCAAGCAGGCTGAGGGAGCTGTAGTCATGTAGATGTTTAGTTTGTGATGGTGGGAACTCTCTGATGTGAGAGGACTTACTTTGGTCTGCCTGTCGCTGGTGGACAGAGCCAGCTCGCTGATTCGAGGCAGGAACGGGTCGAGGTAGATGACCGGTTTCATATCAGCGAACGGCACCGCAAAGCTGAGCCTCTTCTCAGAGTCCCAGGCCACAAACTTCTTCATCATCTCCTCCGATGACACCACTGCAGGTGAAATAAAAAGAGGGTCACCAAACACAGAGAAACCCTCTTTACACAGAGTCATGTGTTAAAGCAGAGAGTGATGTGGAGCCTCACCTGTCACAAGGTTCCTGTTCAGCTTTCCCCCCAGGTGGCCGAGTAACTTCACTACCCGGAGCCTCACCGCCACCAGAGGAGCCTCCTCCTACATGCACGCAGAAGACATCAGTGAGCTCCAACACAGAGCTTCTCTACGGCGGCCCTGAAGGCCAAACTGCAAAATCATGCAATAGCGCCGAGATGGAAAGCGGTGCCTGACACATGCCGTGGCACATAATAATAATAATAATAATAATAGTAGCTTTATTTATATAATATATATATAAAAATATATATTTATAAAACAAATGTTTACAAAGTGCTGTGACAGACAAAGCAAATACATCAACACGATAACAGAACAGAGATCAACAGAGAGTGCAAAATTGTAAAAATGCAAATAACAGGAATAAGATTCAACAAGCAGGTATGGAGAGGCAGTTCAGTACAATGAAGGAAAATTAGTTTAAAATCAACCAGGAGAGAAAAAAATTAAATTGAGGGAGAGTGGGACGACATCACATCACAGGCTGTAAACACAGAATGAAGATAAAAAGAAGGGATGAACAGGAGATTGGCAAAATAAATAAAGCAACAGAGAGCTGAAGAGTGGCACTTCTGAAACAGCAGAGTACCACACTATTAACACTTTAATTTCCTTCAGTCTATGAGATGACGATGCCTTCATTTGGGACAGGTGTCAACTCTAGACGAGTCCTTAAACTATTTTTCAAACACATCTCGTGCATGTAAATATTTAACCGAGTACAGAATCAGGAAAGCAAAGCCTGCTTCACGTCCTGCATACATGTGAGCACCATTCTGCGTTTTCTTGGACACATGTTGAAGTTCATCTTTGTTTTTTCTCCTTATTTTTGATCCACTAACTCTTTCGCCATGAATACAGAGAGGCCTTCATTTGTCCAAAACATGCAGCTACAGGCGAGTAAAGGGGGAGGGGCTTTTATTAGAAGCTTTATGCTAAAAAGATTTTTGAGCTACACATCTCGCAAAGCTTCCCATTAGGTGTCCGAGACTGACATCGTTAATGCTGAAAGAGAACATGTGAAATCACAGAGAGAGCTTTAAAGTACCACGGTGAGCTGGTTGGATTTCTTCAGCAGCCTCGTCATCACGCGGCTGTAACCTCGTTCAGTTCTTGAAGACACTGAAGACATCACCTCCCAGTTACTGTCCTCTTTGTCTGCAACATACAGAGATCCATGTTAGTCTTCTGATGTCTCTGTGGACTAACTAACATGGGGGTAAATGCTTTGGGTCTTACTGTCGCTGGAGGTGGTCTTCAGGTACCCGTCCAGCAGAGGGAGGATGTTGGAGTAGCAGGGCTGCATGGTCTCCGGGGCGATGTGCGAGGACCAGTCTTCAAGAACATCGAGGGCGACGTTTGCTAAAGGAACGTGACTCAGACCCATTTTCAGAGCCGCCTACATTTTACACACACACACACACACACACACACACACACACACACACACACACACACACACACACACACACACACACACACACACACACACACACACACACACACACACACACACACACACACACACACACACACACACACACACACACACACACACACACACACACACACACACACACACACACACACACACACACACACACACACACACACACACACACACACACTTGAGCTTGTATGTTTCTTTTCTAGTCTTCTGACTCCTCAAAGCTCTTTTACACCACAGGTCACACCTACACATTCACACACTGATGGTAGAGACTGCTGAGTGAAGAATCCATCAGAATTAAAGGCAGGCTTGGTAAAACTAGCATGACTTTGACCCGCTCTGTCTTTGTCTTGTCTTGTCTTGTGTAAGTCTCGCCTGGCCTTGGTCTTGGTCTTGACTCGGTCTCGACCCCTTACTGTCTTGGTCTTGACCTGCTCTGTCTTGGTCTTGTCTTGGTCTCGACCCCTTACTGTCTTAGTCTTGTCTTGGTCTCATCCTGCCTTGGTCTTGGTCTTGACTCGGTCTCGACCCCTTACTGTCTTGGTCTTGACCTGCTCTGTCTTGGTCTTGTCTTGGTCTCGACCCCTTACTGTCTTAGTCTTGTCTTGGTCTCACCCTGCCTTGGTCTTGTCTTGGTCTCACCCTGCCTTGGTCTTGTCTCGGTCTCATCCTGCCTTGGTCTTGTCTTGGTCTCACCCTGCCTTGGTCTTGTCTTGGTCTCATCCTGCCTTGGTCTTGTCTTGGTCTCGCCCTGCCTTGGTCTTGTCTTGGTCTCATCCTGCCTTGGTCTTGGTCTTGACTCAGTCTCGACCCCTTACTGTCTTGGTCTTGTCTAAGTCTCGCCCTGCCTTGGTCTTGTCTTGGTCTCGATCCCTTACTGTCTTGGTCTTGTCTTGGTCTCACCCTGTCTTGGTCTTGGTCTTGTCTTGGTCTCACCCTGCCTTGGTCTTGGTCTTGTCTTGGTCTCGATCCCTTACTGTCTTGGTCTTGTCTTGGTCTCACCCTGTCTTGGTCTTGGTCTTGTCTAAGTCTCGCCCGGCCTTGGTCTTGGTCTTGACTCGCTCTGTCTTGATCTTGTCTCTGTCTCGGAGCATTCTGGTCTCAGGTACGTCTTGGTCTTGGTTAGTGTGGTCTTGACTACAACAATATCACATTCACAAAGTGACACATTTAAAAACAGCCCACCTCCAGAGCGGGACAGTACGCCTTGATGTCGAGGGCGATGATGTTGTGATGTAGCGAGAGGACGAATGTGAGGCAGGAGGCGAGCAGCTCGTCTTTGTACTGCTTCATCCTGACGCACACCTGGAGGGGAAACAACAGGTCACTCAAACGACCCACAACGTTTACATCACTTAAAGAAATACTGTAAAGAGACGTTACCTCTTTTCCAAACTTAGAGAAGAGGGCAAAACTGGCACTCTTCACGAGTCACTATGAGGGGACACAGAGCTCTTCAGGCCGACTCCCTGTTCAAGAGAAGGTTTTTTATTTGACTTAAAGGGTAAGTAAACCCCATATTTTCAGCTGTACTGCTCTACCCTGGAATTAAAAAAAAACATTTGCACATTTCTAATTTCTAACAATATTTCAAATTTCAATACTTTGTACACAAATGTCGAGATTGGGACTTGGATTGATCCATACCACTACTTAATACTCAAATACAGAGGTTTAGAGTTGAAAAAAGTGGTTTTAGGGTTTAGTTACTCTTTAAAAACTTTATGTATAAAATAGAAGAGAGCACAACAGGATGGAAAACATTCACATTCTGCAGTAAAGGAAATATTACCTGGTAGTATTTGATTCTCTTTGATATTTTCATGTTGACAGAGAGCAGTTTGTAAAATCCACTGACGAGTGGGTTTCTGATGGAGTGGAGGATGAGCTCGTGGCTCAGAGGATAAACCCACGACTGAAAATACTCCACGTGGTTATTCAGCAACAGCTCGCTGCGGAGAAACAACAGGAATCAGGGTGAAATAAGCACAAATGAACTTTAAAGGTCACATATTCTCCTCCTCCTCTTCAGTGTAAATAAGTCTCAGAGCTCCTCAAACATGTGTGTGAAGTTTCTTGTTCTAAATCCACTCTGATCCTGTATTTGATCATGTCTATAAACCCCTCTATTTCAGCCCTGCTCAGAACAGCTGTTTCTGTGTCTGTACCTTTAAATATGTAAATGAGCTGCACGCCCCCTCTCTGAAAGTTGGATTGTGTTCTGTCTCTGTTACCTGCAGAAGTCGACCAGGTTGATAAAGGCGGTGAAGTCTTTGATCTTGTTGGGCAGCAGGTGAGCTGTGGGGTCGGAGGAGGGCAGGACATGAGCATCATCAGGAGCCTGAAAGAAGAGCAGAAAGGTGCAAACGGATTCTTTTATTCAACTGACAGAAATCTTAATTATGTTTCAAGGGAACATTTCAAGTCACCCAAAACTGTTTCCTAACAAGGCAAATATGTCTCCCTTCACCTCCTCTCCTGATGCCACTTTCTGCACGGATAAATCCAACTTCTCCACGATTCGGAGGATCGATTTCACCAACTCATCATAGAGGAGACGACTCAAAGACACGAGGGCGGCGTTCTGACTTTCAAAAGCTCCGTCCAAAAATCCTGAATCCTACAGAGGAAAAAGAGACCGAGAAAGATTATGATTTACTTTATTGATCTGTTTTTACACTCTGTAAGTTATGAACACACACATGCACAAACAGGATCCTATGGACATGCACTAATGGAGAGATGTCAGGGTGACGCTACTGGGCTGATGGTGGGGGGATCGGTGCCTTGCTCAGGGGCACCTTGGCAGTGCTCAGGAGGTGATCTGGCACCTCTCCAGCTACCAGACCAACTTTGAGATTTGGTCCGCACTGGGACTTGAACCGGCGACCCTCCAGTTCCCAACCCAAGTCCCTACAGACTGAGCTACTGCCGCCCCCTAAAGGAGACAGAGTCAGAGACAGAGGAGACAGAGACAGAGACAGAGGAGACAGAGAGACAGAGACAGAGGAAACAGAGACAGAGGAGACAGAGAAAACAGAGACAGAGGAAACAGAGACAGAGGAAACAGAGACAGAGGAGACAGAGGAAACAGAGAGAGTCAGAGACAGAGACAGAGTCAGAGGAGGCAGAGACAGAGTCAGAGACAGAGACAGAGTCAGAGACAGAGACAGAGGAGACAGAGGAAACAGAGACAGAGGAGACAGAGACAGAGACATAGGTATGGTCTTCAGTGTTTCCCACAGGCGATAACTGGGCAGGCCGCCCAGGTATCTTTGAGGGGAGGAATACTAAATCATATATCGCTCTCTTCATGAATCAAACCTGCTGAAGTTAGTAAAAGCTGCTGACGCTTTACATACACAACAATATAAGAGGAAAAGAATTGAGCTGCACCTTCAGCCGATCGCAGTCCAGGAGGTTTTTAAACAGAGCCAGGTAGTTCTGACTCGAGGGAACTTTCCACTTTCCAGCTCGGACTTGTGAGGACTTGGAGGAAGAGCCGTCTTTGTCCTGAGAGGAGACGGACATACAAATCAAGACCGGCTAAATGTGCACATGTTTGAATTTAGATATGATGAGAACATCTGAGAAAAAGCTTCTGACCTCGGACATCACGATGGGTTTGGAACAGACACGAATCAAGCCCTGGTGCACTGAAAGACAAAAGTAACAGCCAATCAGCAGCAGCATGTGGTAACACACCGAGCTGTCACGTTATTGAATCTATACACCCCTCGTCATACAAAGAGGTGTTGATAAAAACACGACCCGGTGAAGGCAGTGTTCTGATTCATGGCTCCACGTACCCACAGAGCTGATGAAACTCCACAGAACGGGTCCTTTAGAGGCCATGGCCACCAGCACCTTCAGGATGGACCTGCAGCACACACTCTGCATCCTCTCACTGTGCTGAGGGAAGCTGTCGATCTGCACCACCAGGAGGCGCTCCAGCAGAGGAGTGTACACCTCTGGGATCTGAGAGCAGAATAAGACGATCACTCTGGTGTTTTTTTTTTTTTTTTTACTTCAGTAGGACGGTTTAAAGGTTAAAAGTCAAGTGCAGTGCATCAATGCAAACGTCAGACTGTGATTTTTTAAACCTTGTCCAGGTGGATGAGGACACTGGCGATGGAGTCGAGGAAGCTGGGCAGCTGGTAGAGGCTGTCGTCCTCCCCGTCAGACTCTGTCAGGTACATCTGCTTACAGCGCTGAATCAGCTCCGTATACATCAGGTCCACGTCCTGAGGGCACACTTTCTTACACGGCTGCAGGAGGAAAAGATGTGATTTTGTAACCAGAGGTCCACATCCTTCATAAACAACAACAGAACCTGAAAGAGCAGATGTGAGATTATCTAGTGGAGCCAAAATCTACCCGCTCATCCTCGACTCTGGGGAAAGCAATAAGCAGGTTTTGACATCACATGAAAGCAGATGAGGATAAAGAACGTACGCCTGCAAAGAATCCGTATCCTCGTATGGCGATGGACAGCTCCTTATGTGTCGAGTCCATCGTCTTGATGATGCCGCAGAACTTCTGCATGAAGAACTTCAACTTGCTTTTGTGCTCCTCGATATTCTCGGCCACCAGCACGGCGACCTCCGAGTGATCACATGATGAATGTTAGACTTTATTCTGAAAACCAGCCCGTCAGTCCGCTTTTTTTTAAAAACGTGTTTCCTGTGAAACATTTTGCAGCGCTCACCTGTTTGAGGAAAGCCTCGAGTGCGTAGTAACTGGTCTTCTTCATCTCTACGTTGATGTGTCCGCAGAGCTTGGACATGACCTCGAACAGAGCTCTGTAGTGATCCATCAGGCAGCCGCTGAACTGAGAGGCATGTCTGGCAAACAGTCGCAGTCCGGCTGTGGACGAAGATAACAGAGACCTTTATTCATCTCCAGTGAAACTCTGAAGTGTCGGATTGATCCAAAACTACTGAACAAAATAAGAGTAACACAAAAAAAAAACATCAAATATGCCTGAATTAAAAGGGGGGGAGGGGGGCTCAGGTGCACCTCGGCCGAGCTCAGAAAATGATCTGACACCTCTCCACCTACCAGACCAACTTCCAGACTTGGTCCTCACAGGGACGTGAACCTGCGACCCGAGTCCCTACAAACTGAGCTGCTGCCGCCCAAAATGGTAATAGTATTACTAGTTTGGTATGTCGGTTATACTAAGAGGAAGAAAGAACTGAAACTGCAGCAGGCAATGAAACGTGAACAAGCGTGAACAAGCGTGAACAAACGTGAACAAACGTGAACAAACGTGAACAAACGTGAATAAGGAAGTCAAAATGCACGTTGTTAAGATGTGTAATCGATCTGTAATCGTGACAAACTGCCTCGGTATTGAAAAGTTATTCTTCACAGTAAACATTAAACTACTGCACATAAAAAGTAAAAAAAAAAGATTCACAGGAGTATTTTTAATGCCGTGTGTTAATCTTCATATTTCTCGCTGTGGAAGTGTGAGTGGGCGTCCTTACCAAACGTGACAGCATAGCGGGTCATTTCCACCTGCAACAACAACGAGAATCAAGAAATGATAGGAACGATCTCAAACTGAAATATTTTGTTTCTTATGACCACCCCTCCATGTAAAGCTGAGTTCATGACATTTACCTTGGGACTGATGGCCTTCAGGGCGTACTGAAAAATATCCTGCAATGTCGCCGGATCTGAGTGTCAAACACACAAACGGACTGAGTCATGGTGCGTTCTCAGCTCCTCTTGTAAATGTGAAATAAACAGAAATGGAAACTCAAGAATTAACACACCTTCCTCCATGGTCTTGGTGAAGTTGACCATCAGAGCGGTGAGTCCTATCAAACACCCGGCCACGACTAAGAGTTTGGGTTCTTTTGTTGCCGACGTCATCTGCAACATGAAGGACATTTAAAAAACCAACATCTTAACTAATGTGACGACCTGATTCCATCCGGCTGCAGGCTCAGCTGCACCTGTAAACATACCTGTTCTTTCAGCTCCCCCAGATAAGCTCTGTACAGTTTGTCAGAGTTGTTGACCATCTCGCTTGGGTGAACCTCGGCAAGAACGCCCAGCAGCTCATAGAGCTTCCCCAGAACTGTCGCAAAGGAGACAAATAACCATTACATTTCACCGCTGCTTGTTTTAAATTGAAATATTATGATCAAGAATAAACAGAAAAGTGGTTTCAGGCATCACACAAAGATGCTGCTGTAGAACTGCCTTGGACCTAAAGATCTCTTTTTTTCTACCAATCAAACATTTTCACACACACTCCTGAAAAGTTCCAGAAAATGTCAGGTAGGCTACCCCAGAGATCTTACAGAGTTACACATGCACCTCACAGCGGGAGATCATCCCTATGGTCTATGGTCGTGTGTTGGTTCAGGGATATAAACGCCACCACCCCCTCCCACTCACTCTGGTGAATTCTGCTTCATATTTCCACGCTGCTCACATCAGCTCACTCTGACTTAAATGGTAAATGGACTTGAGCTTGTATATTTCACTTCTAGTCTTCTGAATACTCTGAAAACATGTGGCTGCAGGAGCTGAGGAATCGAACCCCCGACCCTCCTGTTGAGAGACGACCGACTCCACCAACCACAGCCGCCCCTTCATGTGGAATCTTTACTGAGGGGGCCCGCAGGAGAAACTGAAAAATGTGTCTGTTTGCGTTCACACATGCAGCTCAGCCCGAAGTGTTCAGGAGTGTAAAAGCAGCAGAAGATTCACCGGAGTCTGAGAGTTTACTCTTCTGACAGAGCTCGCTGTAAAACCTGTTGAACATGTCGCAGATTCGAAGGTCTGCGGCCACAGTGGACGCCCTCGTGGTTTGGAGAACCTGCAGAGAAAGAGAACGATTTGGTACGATCAGCATTTACAAAATAATGACCTGTTAAGAAATAAGAAAACACTCGCAACTAAATCAAACCCAAATAAGGAGTAAACGGTGGACCCATTCCTGTGGTCTTGTTGAATTTGACATGGCTTATGTGAATAAAATACAGAAGATTTAAAGAGACACTGACTTGATAAGGAGCTCCAGAACTGGAGTCCTGCATTTGGCTACTTTTTCCTTGGTGTACACAGCCATGCACGTGTCCTGCATGAGAGAATAAAACACATTGTAAACATTTCACCTTGTCTGTGGAACTGTTCCATCACAAAGTGGAGGTCACTGAGTCATTTAATGTTCGACAGTAGCCCTCTTCAGGCGCCCGTTTCAAGCAATGTGAACTCAGACTGGGACAGCGATATTACGTGGTCACAGAATCTATATGACGGCACAGAGACGTGATGACGGCTGAGCTTAGTTACTACACTCTAAAAAGACGCTTCTCATTTATATTATTTAGACTTTTTAATTGACTCTCCCACTCTCATGCATGTTAAAAGCTGCAGAGTAAAACTCTCACTTTGATGTCGATGGCGTACGTCTTCTCCCATCCTTTGACTCTCAGCGAGACTGGGTCCAAGAACTTCTCCAGAAAACACAAGATATCGACTCTGGTGTCCCGGAGCTGGAAAAACAAAGAGACGTTTCTGTCAACATGAGAACCTTTAAAAATCTCTGACTACATTATGTTCCTTTAAACGCACCTCATCGGATGTCAGGGACTTCCTGAGGAAGATGAGCAGTCCACAGTCTTTGGAGAACAGTAAGGACGTGTGAAGAGCTGCAGGATGAAGATCAATTAAGAAGGAGAGTGTGTGCATCAGAGTCAAAACATTTAAATCTGCAGCAACATTCAATAAAGACAGCCAACAGCTCTGCACCTGTAAACCTTTAAAACAAAAGATTACACAGACATCATGTCCCTACTGCACTAGCGTTACACTGTAAACAAACTAATCACAGTTATATGGGAATTAAATGATTGTTTAGGTATCAGGAAGGAGGAGCACTTAGGGCCTGGCAGTTAGATCGCACCCCATTTACAGAGGCTGGAGTCCTCCGAGCGGACGGCCCAGGTTCAAGTCCATCCTGCTGCTCTTTTACCGAATCTCGTTTCACTCTCTCTCTCCCAATTTCATACCCTGTGTATCTCTGTGTATGTATCTCTATCTAGGTCAAAAAGGGACCAGTGTAGGTTATGTAACTTATCAGTTTGACATAATTGAGTGCTTATCCTTTCATGGAGCACAAGTTGTGTTTATTTAAATAAAGTTAAACTATCAGACCATTCCTACAGTTCTTGAGCTTTGGATTTAAATATTGTTTCACTTTATCCTCCTTTATGATCTTTATGTAAAACAAGTATTAGATGCAGCTTGCAGACTATCGCGTGGTTTGAACATCATGTTGTGATTGAGCGTCACCGCCCACCATGATACAGTTTTGGCGGATTGTTGTGATGGAGGCAAACTGGCTAAAAAAGAAAGTTATCCACGTTTTTGAAATGACTAAAGCACGAAGAAGTAATTATCGAGTTCCAAAAGTCCTAATAGCACTCAATCCTTAACAGTATTCACTGATCTTATGTCACAGAAGCAGCACTCACATTAAATATGCAGATTTGTGAATGGGGTCCGGCGCAGGTTCAACGCGTCCCTGTAACATCTGAATGGACTCATAAACACACTTTCCCTGATTTGTCTTACCAAGATCATTCTCTGTCGGTGCTAGCATGCACTCCTGTCCCAGGTCACCCACTATGTCGTGACATCTCAGCGCCGCAGTTCGCGAGTCTTCATCTGAAAGTGACTCGTGAAGTTTGAGGAGGAGCGCGTGAATCCCACTTGAAGACATGGCTGCAGCTCTGGTTGTGTGCTAAGCTAACATTAGCATCACAACCGCTACAATAACTTCTCTTTATTATAAAAGCACAACAAAATTTCGCACTGCCAAACAACACAGACTCAAGTCACTGTGAAGTGAGCCTGCGCATGATTCAATTACGCACATCAGGAAGAGCCGGGACCGGATACACGCTACAACTGCTTCAAAATAAAAGCACCGAAGAAGTAGGAAACATGGATATCAGGTGACACGAATGCTTAAAGACTGCGGCATATACATTATAACTGCCCTGTTGTGGTATTTTCTTCAACTTTGCTTCTTTTTTTCATTGGGGATTAGACTGTTTACCTCATCTTGACCATACTTTCGTTTCCTTTTGATTGTTTTATTTTTTAGTGTTCACCGGAAACGTATTTTGTTAATATCGCTACTTTACTAATTATAGATAATTTCAACTTTCTGTAGAAGAATTGTTAAAATAAAATTACAATAGGTGTTATTAGTCTGAAATCTTTGTCAAAATCTACAAATATATTACGTGAATGAAAAATATTAAAATGTACGGAGTCCCAGAAGTCACAAAAAGCGAACATTTTTATTTTGTGCGCACACGATAATAACTTGTTTCACATTAAAGGTAATATCTTGTGAGCACATAGAAGATAACAAGATCATTGTGTATACAATATATACTTAAAATTATTTTTTACTTTTGGGGATTTCAGGGTCGCTGTAAAAATAAGTAGACATTGATACCTTTGTCTCAGCCAAAGCATTGGAAACTCGTTTTAGGATGATAAATAAAGTCATTTGAATAAATGTTTAGCCATAAATTATCAGTGTGAACTTTATTATCTGAGGTGAGCCGCAGCCTCGTGTGGCTGCATTTCCTCCGCTTCACCAGCAGGGGTCATTCATGAGTTACTTTGAGCTTGTAGCGCTTATTTCAAGAGATAGTCAACATTAAGAGATGAAAAGTCATAAAATGTAGACTAAAGGTAGAAATCAAGACATAAAAAGTTATAATGGTGATGAATTAAGTCAAAGTTCTGTAATAATAAGTACAAATGAAGAGTTGAAAAGGCATAATTAATTCATAAAAAGTTAAAAAATAATGTGATAAATGGACAAAAATATGAGAATAAATGTCAAAAGTATGACATTAAAGTCAAAGGTTTAAGATTAAAGGTAGAAATTAAGAAATAAAAAGTCATACTTTTTATCCTCATGTTTCGTAAATCATCACAACCTTACCTAACATTTTAAATGATACTTAAAGTTGTTGAGAACGCCTGAACAGGAGGTTTATTTTGAAGGGCACGACCAGATGTTTGTCGTGTTATTGTGTGTGAAAACGTAGATTTGATTTTTATAAGCAAACTCACTCATACTTAGTATAAAGTGTAAGATTTTTAAAAAGTCACAATTGTGAAATTTAAAGTAACTATGAAATAAAAGGTTGAAATGTAGAATAAAAAGTCAAATTAATTCTGAGACAACATCTTAATTATGATATGAAATTAAGCAATACAAATACATAATTAAGAGATTAAAAGTCCTAATTTTGTTTTAATAAAGGTAGAAATCAAGAAATAAAAAGTCATAATTATGTCTTAAAATTCAAAACTATGCGATAAAATAAAGAGTTTAAAGTCATTCAGTTGTTAGTTTTTTCATATTGGAGTCACTGACAGATTTGTCTCTATAATTCATTTATTAAATGAAACCTTAAAGTCTCCAGATACTTTGTTTGGCTTTTATTTGTATTTCTTTTGAGTGTATGTTATGGTGAGGAAATTATTAATTCTTCCTTAAATGTTTACTTATCAAATTAATCTAATAAAGCCTGATCATTCGTATTTTATGAAAAGCATCTCAACCAAACTTAAATGAAGGTTAAAGTTGAGAACGCCTGGACATGAATTTTATTTTGAAGGGCATGGCCGGATGTTTGTCGTGTTATTGTGTGTTAAATGACACTTTAAAACTCAGACACCTGTTGTTAAAGGAGGACTACACACACACACACACACACACACACACACACACACACACACACACACACACACACACACACACACACACACACACACACACACACACACACACTGACTCACTAATCACATGGAGAGCGGACTCAGTGAAGGAGCCGGGATTCAGTGGAGCTGAGTCGGGGGACTGTGAGGGGTCTGCCGGGGTCCGGGTCTACGCGCGATTCGGTTGTGGATTATTTTGTCGATTTTTGAAAAGATATTTTTACCGTTTTTGGATTTTTATCTGCTGAAATGTTCCAGGATAAAACACCAGGTTTGTAATTATGTCTGATAATATGTTACATACCGTTTGTTTGTGCGTTGAGCAGCGACGGACTCCTCACGGCGAAATGTTAGCGAACTCCCTTTAAATGTAATACTTTAATGCTGATTGTAACGACATTAAAGCAAACGATACTGTTGCTGTGTGAAAACTCACTGAAAACACTTTATTTTATTCGAACCACTAATTCGGCATCAATTTAATACAAGAATTACTTTAACAAAAGTCCGAATTTCAGGTTTTTCTTCAGGTTTGTTATGGAGCGAACTAACGTAAGAGGCTGCTGCGATCTGATCACAACAGTTTTCAAAGTGGAGATTTTACGACAAAAACGATTTATTGGTAAATTTGATGTACGCCGAATTATGAAGTGAACATTGAAACTACAGCAGCTGTAACTGAATTCATCTTTTTTGATCTTATTGAAAGAAAAGCAAGTGTTTAACCTCGTTCTCTGCGCTTTCCTTCCTGTTTGACACTTTGATTTTGTAATTAAATGCATGATCTACTTTCCCACTACAATCTGAATAAAGTGCAAATGTGCTATTTGAATTTGATTGTTTTTCTTGCATGTCCTGACTGTATGAGAAGTTGCATGTAATTCAGAGCCCAACACTTTGCTGTGTAACTAATTTAGTGGTAAATGACAGCTGGAGACAGATTTGTTCCAATAGATTATGTTGGGTTTTAATTTGTGTTATTACTGAAATTATATAAAGAACACAAAAGACTCATTTAGTGCAAAATAAACTGCAGGATTTAGAATCCTCCAACTTTGTTCTAACAGTACTTAATGGGAGTAGTGAAGGCAGAGAGCGGCACTATCCAGGAGTCCGCCTCATTTTGTCCTGATAGACTCATTTAGATTCATTGAAGTCCATTTCAAGGATGTCAACAAAGAAACCCCAAACCATTACCAGCCTATGATAAACAGTCTCGTCTCTCTCTCTCTGCAGTATCCCTCCTCCCTGTAGTGGTGCAGATCTTTCCCTGAGAGCTGAAGGATAAACCATCACCAGGCCTGAGGGCCACCGGACCACCGGACCATAAAAGACATGCTGGCTGCCATGCTGCGCCAGAGCTCGGGCGGAGGAACTGGAGGTGGGAGGCAGCAGCAGCAGCAGCAGCAGTGGAACCAAACTCCCTCTGGGTATCTCCAAACTGTCCAGCACCGGCTCGGGTTCAGCGAGCCCCTCGAGCGTGGGCCCCTGGGGGCCCGGCCGGTTCTCTAAGAGCATCTCGGTGAGCTCGGACAGTCCAGATGTTGCCGCCTCGGACCCAAACTACATCATGCAGCTGGTCAGCGATGTGCGAAAGTTTGCTGATGTGCTGCTGCAACTCAAAGAAGTTTTCAACTCCAAAGGTAAGTTTGGAAAGAGTGAACGAGTTTCTATCTCTTTCTGATGAGAGAAAATCACAACATTCTCCTCACTCATCTTTTTTCAAGGCTTTGTTACATTCACAGAAACAGCTTCAAGGTCTCACTTGAGCTCCATCTGCAGCTGTAAGAAAACATTCAGACGCCTCAGATTTGTGATCATGTCTTAATTATAAAAGAAACAAACAAATGTGCAGGTCGTATTTGAACTGATACTCATCATTTCTTTACTCTAGTTGTTGCAGAAAAATGTGTGTTTGCATTTATACAAAAGCCGATCACACCTTTTTGATTGTATGGTTAAATATTTGACAGAATCAGAATACTTATCGGTCTTTAATAGTTTCACTCATTTCATGAAACTTAATTTATCACCAGATGATATCTGATCCTTATCTCTGCTGACAGCTTCAGATAGATTTTCAGTCTTACTTTAAACCAAAGCTGCAGCCTGAGAAAGAGAAAGAGAGCGCTGTCTAAGATTGGACTCTGTGCAGGAGTTTGCTTGCAGTGTTTGGTGATTAAAAAAACAAAGCATGATCCTTTTTGGCGCCTCGTACTTCTGCTGTTGTTGCCTTTTTATGGACATTATTAGATTTTGACCAGCATGGATCAAAGTTTGAAAAAGTGGGATTCTGACGGAGCTCATAGGTAACCTGTGAATGATTTGTTTTGCTCTTTGTGGATCGCAGAGTGAGTGATTCATTACATTGTGTCGGCTTGTTTCCCACCATGTAATGACACCATGCACCCTTCAATGTGTCTCAACTCGTCTTATCTCTCGCAGTAATGGTCCTCTCTCTCTCATTACGACATGTGTTCTCTCAGTGAGGCCTGAACTGGTGTGAGCACAGAGGAGAGAGTGTTGGCAGAGAGTCAGAGGAGTTTACAGCCTCGCTGTCAGCTCGTGTGTACACTCTGTTGTTTCCAGCACAGTGTACACAGTCCCACGGCTGTCTACCTGTTTTCTCCTGCAGTGGCCTTGGCTGCTCGGCCACTCACCCGTCCTTATCTCACTGTTAGTTTGATTCTTGCTCTCCTGTCTGCAGAGTAGAAAACACAGACAAGCTGCAGCTAATGTGTCCCTCCTAAAACGATAATCCAGCACTTGATCAACTAGAACAAAGTTTAAATCCTGCAGAAAAAAAGGTTCTTCATATTCTTGTGCTCGTGAAAAGGTTTCATGCAGCAAATTCAGATTTAATCATCATTTTGCACAAGAGACGTTCTTAACCTGAGATCAGTTGTCTTCATGACACTTTGGATACTATGTGTTTTCTGTTATTTTTTTCTGTTATTTTAATGAGCAATATCAAAGAGCTGAGCTTTAAAGAAACTTAAGACATGTGTGAAGAAGAGGAGTGAGTCCATCAGAAGGTTGCAGGCAGACTCCTGCACACGGTCTAAATCACACAAATATGATGATCCAGCGTTTCAGTGCCAAAACGTAACCATCGTGTTTGTTTGATTTAGACCGTGTGCAGAAGTTTCCCTCACATTTTTTTTCCTTAAAACCAAGAAAGTCTCTAAAATTGGGCGCCTAGGACTTAATTTTTGGTTGCCATGGTATTAAAGCTCGTCTTGGTTTGATTTTTACGAGAATCATAACAAAGGTTAAAAGTTCTCATATCGCGATAACTCAACACGAGAGCATGACCTAAATGTTTGAGCCAACGAGGACTGAACTCCAGAGATGTACTGACTGGGAGAATCAGATTCTGATATTGATGTTTGTTTCACGACTTCTTCTGGTGTCAGACTCCCACAATGCAATATTTTCTCTCGTGAAAACGACAGCTGACTTCATCTGTCCAGTGAAAATCCTCTTCTCTGAATCAGTAGTTCGATGTTCTAGATGTCGGCATTGAACTGATTTAGCACGACAATGAATCCTCTACAGACATCGGCTCATGCCACATCGTTTGCAGATGTCTGTCAGCGGGGTCGATGTCGGACGATAAAGATGTTGAACCGATGCTACTGAACACTAAGGATGAATGTATTTACGGGCTCGTGCTGGAATAGAAAACCTCTTGATGGATTTGGCTCAAACCTGACATTGTGCAGATTCTGCATGAAGTCTGCATGCCTCTCTCAGAATGTGCTCGCTTGATTTTGGGTGAAGCACTTCACAGAGAATCATGTTGTCGAAGGACAAAAAATATCTTTATTTTTTTATTTTTTTATTGTACAGGGACATTGCATATTAATAAACATTTCTGTAAATATGCCAGAGTTAGCCAAAAGGCAAATTTTCATCTTTTGTACCAGGCCAGATTTTTTAAAAGGCTCCCTAAAAAAACCCAAATTCAAACATCGCTAAAAGCTACAAAAATAGAAGTATCATGACAGTAATGAAGCAGACAGGTAAGTAGCCACAGGTGAAAATACATAAACCATGCAGGATACACATAAAGCAGCATTTGGTTAATATAAAAAATGTATGGACAGAAATGGAGCAGCATTGAGCAGACATAACACTGTACCAAAAAAGAAAAAAAACCTACTAAAGTAAATGTAACGTGCACACAACAAGACAACATGTAACACTATATACAACAAACACATACAAATTCTAAGATGAGTTAAAAAAACTCATTTATTTTAGAAACTCGACTGAATCCACATTGAAGAACTGCAGCAGCTTTCATAGCAAGCTCCCTGTGAGCCTCTAATTAACAGATTTCCCTTCATCAGTGATGAGACGGATCATTTAGAACCTCGGGGCTGAGGCAAACACTCCTCTCTGTGCACATGTGTGTGGGTGGTTGTTACATTCCTCCCTTGTTATGTTTTGCTTTTTGGATCAGACCCAGATTTGTTCATCCCAGACCTGCTGAGGATGGTCTGAATAAGATGAGCTGTGGAATCCTAGGCTGGTTTTGTGTGTGTGTCTGCAGAGGTCAGAAAGGTGCTTGACCCCGGCTGGACGTGTGGGCATTATGCAGATTGAGACTTTGCAGAGGACACTGAGAGACTTTTCAGTGAGCTGTCAGCGTGTCGGGGATCAAAGCACGAGATCCACGTCTGCAGCTCTCTGAAGCAGGACAGAAATACACCTCCAGCTTTTGTGGCTGTTTATTTCTCTTTCCTCATCACAGATTCAAGGTGGTCGCTTTGATATCACTTAAAGTTGAGCTGTGCATGCTGTCACTGTAGACATTCTGCCCTCGCCACTCGTCTTTAAGAAACCAGTTTATAATTATAATATGTGTCCTTCCTCTACACACACTAAGCAAAACATCCGAACAACAAATAGACTTCAAAACAAACTCCTCAGCTCCACGTCCAGTAATCAGGCTGAGTCCTGCCAGTGTCGTCATGGAGATGCCAACACGTGATTGTAACGCGCAGTATTCCCATTAGAGGCTTATTTTGGATAAATACAGGAAAGGGCCGATTTGGGAGAATAGGCTGATTAGGATGAAGAAAACAGACCTCAGCACGATTTAGGAGAGAAGCAAAGAGACCATTGTGTCAAACCCAAAGACAAAGCTTGTTTTTTAAACCCAGGGTCCTGTCTTTTATTCAAGATATTCTGGGGTCTAAATGAAAGTTTAGATATTAAATTCTGTTCCAATGGAAGGTTTGAAACCCCCGTGTGATGGCTGCACACCTCCTCCGATCAAAGTGTGTCCCCTAAACGTTGTTGTATTTGTCCCTGACAGGCTCCGGTTGTTGTTCTAAGTGTGTGACATCATCACAGAGAGGATCTCTACAGAGAGGGACCTTTATGTCACAGAGGAAGATGATTTCTTATACCAGGAATCAGCTGTTAGCGTCCCCTTTTCTAATGTCACCAAACCCTGTTGACAGAAACAGTCATTTTATCTTAAAGAAAACTAAAGCCTGTGGTCTGTTGTTGTCCAGACCTGGTACTCCTTTGTCCCTCCCTCTAACCTTTAAAACACAACATTCACTCAAACAGGCCAACCCTTTTCTTTAAAGATTTATTATTGGGCTTTTTTTGTTACTTTTTTTGGAGAGATAGGACAGTGGATAGAGTCAGAATCAGAGAGAGCATGTGGAGAATGACATGCGGGAAAGGAGCCACAGGTCAGATTCGAACCTAGGCCGCCCGCTTCAAGGACTATAGCCTCCACACATGGGGCACTAACCACTTGTCCACCAGTGCCCCTCAAACGAGAGAAACTCAATGAGGCCGCAGGAGACCAGCAGCTCCAGCACCGTGAGGTAACATAATTGTTTTTTCAAATGGAGTCTGGTAGCTCTGAAAAGATCGCTAAAAGATGGGTTTTAAAAAATCTACTCACAAAAATGAGGTCTATCTCTGCAGGGATCATTTTTGTAATGTTTTTCAGACACTTACAACAGTGTGAGCCTGTCGAGGACTAAAACAAGAACTCGTAGTGTCATATCTGCAGGATTATAGTGCAGCCATTACAGCCCAGTTCACTGCTGCAGGCTGAAGAACCAAGTTTTAAAAACATCAGAGATTAAGATTAGGATGATTACGTGACATGACGCTCTTCTCTTGTTGTCAATAAACTTCTTCAAAGTGTGATTGTTGAGACGTGTCGCTCTGAGGCTTCAGTAACAGATAGTTGGGAGGCAGTGACTTGTGCTGTGATTGGATGTGATTTAACCCCCCCCCCTCTAATTTATGGCCGTATTGTCTCTGCAGAGCTTCACAATAGTTCAAACCTCTCATTAAGCCGCGCTGCTCACTGAAACCTCCGTGAACCCTCCTCCACAATATTCAGCTCCACCGCAACACCGCCTGCATTCACAGTCAACGACGTGAGTCTGACACCCATTGTCCCGGGACCAGTCTCCAGACTAGCATGCTGCTGCTAACTGGCAGCCTGAGCAGAAATGATACTTTCCCAAGTCAGGAATAGCTGCAGTCTGTGGGAGTGGTCCCTGGGGGGGGGGGTTCTTCAGCCAACTCCGTTAAGAATATTTTTAAAGAAGTTTGTTTTCCTCCCAATGCACATCATCCTTAAATGGTAATTACAGAGCGG